AGTATTATTGGTGTCATTTCCTGGAGGGCTTTTCCACTAAATCACAATCTTTTTGTTCTCTTTATAGGTATGGGTGTGAACCATCACCCAGGTCATCCTCGAATGATGACACCTAACTCTTCTGGCCCCATGCCTTCCCTTAGCCCAATGGGGATGAACACTATGGGCTCCCAGCCACTTTCCCATGGCATGCCAAACCAGATGCCCTCGCCCAATCCCATGGGCCCTAATATGCCTCCTCACTCTGGGCCTATGGGTCCAGGCATGATGCCTCATGGTATTATGATGAACCCAGTCTCACAAGATCCTGCCATGGTCAACAACCAGATGATGTCACAGGGACGTATGGGTCTTCCTCACCGAGGACAGGGCTTCCCCCCTGGACAATCACCTCCACAACAGATCCCCTTCCCTCACAATGGTCCTGGGCACCAGGGTGGCTTTCCTCATGGGATGGGTTTCCAAGGAGAAGGGGGCCCACTGAGCAGGATGAGCAGTATGCCTCATGGACCTGGTGGTGAGCCAGTTATGTGTAAACCTAATACTCCAGGAGGCCAGGAGTTTAATAACATGCCGGGTGTCTTCAATGATTCGGATCTACACGAGGTCATGCGACCAGGTGCGTCAGGTATCCCTGAGTTTGACCTCTCTCGAATTATCCCTTCAGAGAAGCCCAGCCAGACTCTATCCTACTTCCCTCGTGGTGGGGATGCCCCTGGTGGGAAGCCACCACACCCGTCTGGCCCACCTGGCTTTCCCCAAATGCAGGGGATGATGGGTGAGGGCAACCCAAGGATGGGCCTCCCCATGCAGGGAATGGGTGGTCCTCCTGGCCCTGGACATATGGGACCACAGGACATGCCCATGGGTAATCCAGGCCACAACCCTATGAGACCCCCAGGTTTCATGGGTCAGGGTATGATGGGGCCTCAGCACAGGATGTTGTCTCCTGGCCATCAGCCAGGAATGATGGGAGGCCCTGGAATGATGCAGGGAAAGGATAGGCCGATGTACAACCACCCTGGCCCTGTAGGCTCTCCTAACATGATGATGTCACTACAAGGGATGAGCGGTCCTCAGCAGACTATGATGATGCCCTCTCAGATGAGGCCTCGAGGAATGGCAGCAGATATGGGCATGGGATTTAACCCTGGACCAGGGAACCCTGGGAATTTAATGTTTTGAGCCTCCATTACAGTTATTAACAATCGAGAAACTGTTTAACCTGTGAAATAGCAACCTTCGTAATGAAATACAAAAAGAAACTGCGTTCTTAAGCAGATATGTATGGAAACCAGGACATTTTTTGTGCACATACACACCCTGACACCTGGTTAGAACAAGGTTTATAGCTTACACAGCGATGGGTATCCATCACAAACACATGGATGTGTTCACAGGGAATCTTTTCCAATGGTAAAGTCATTTAACAGGTGGAAGTGTGAGAAGCTAATTGTTCTTTCCTCAAAGTTGGGCTCAGGTCCGGCACCATTTGGAAGGTACTTTTTCTCTAACTTGGGAATGTATATGGAATTTACAAGACTGACTCGTGTCAAGGATATTTGCTTGACATCGTGGCATGATGCCACATATAAGTCTACAGCAAACCAAGTATGAACGTTTAGGGGCTTCATTGTACTTTTATACATGGGTGGAAACCAAGAAAGATTGTTGAAAAAAAAAAAAAAAAGTCCAAGAACTGAAAGAACAGACATGAAAATGGAAAAGTCAAGGAACATTTTGTCACAAGGTGCACAGTCTTGACTATATGTTTACATCTCATCGCATCACTTCCCTCCAAACAGGAAATGCTCTTTATATGTGTGTACTGTACTTGTGTTGTTAAAGGGATTCTACCAGTGATTTCTATAGTTTTTTTTTCCATCTTCATTTGTAAAGGGGGGATTGAGGTGGTTGTTTGTGGACAGTAGGTGACACAACAACACCACAAAATACTGTGTACTGTGGTGCGTACAGAATATTTTAAATTTAATTTTCTTTGCTACTCCAGTGTATGATAAAACCAAACTAAGACCTCATACAGATCATAGTATTATTAAAAAAAGCACAAACAAGAATTAACTGTAAAGAATAAAGTGTTTTCTTTTCTCCTTTTTTTTAATTGTAGAGAAAAACACTTTGACCGTAAGTAGGAGCAGTAATCAGATTTATGCAGTGTGGTCTCCCGTTCCTGTTTTAGAAACTTCTGTAAGCTGGTCTGGGTACAGGTGAGGGTGACTCTGGAGGGGTGTTTTTGAACCCCATAAACCAGCACTCAGTTCTGCAGTGACGCTCAGGCTACTGTCTGCATATCCGTGTCTGTTTCGACAAGGACTGTCGCTGTTTGCCACCACTGTGGAATACATTGAAAAGATTTTTTTTTTTAATTGCTTGGCTGTGTACAGCTATACAGTGCAGCGCTGACAACATCGGAGCTACTGGAAGGTGGGCTTTTTTTTTTTTTTTTTTTTTTTTTTTTTTTGTAGAAAACAAATGATTATTAAAACAAAAACAGAAAAAAGCTAATAGGTTGTCCTCTTGTCCCTGCCCCTCCTGTGTTGATGCTCGTCATGTGTAACTCCATTGAATTTGGTACTGAACCACTTCCTAAGACTGGGTTGTGGTGTTGGACGACAAATAAAATATATTGTTTGGTATAAAGAGTCTCAATGCCTTTGTGTATATCTCATGGCTCTTTATGGTCTTCCTCTGCCCCCTAGTGGGAGTGCAGGTTATTAAAATTTGACTACCAGTTGCACAAAACCAATAAGACATGATTTTTGTGATCTGTTATGGTTTGTATTTAATCATGTTTCCTTTAGGATTGAGCTAGGATATAACATTTAACCCATGTTAGAAGTGGTGTAGCAAGTGTTTATGATCTAGTGGTCTTGTACTAAAATGTTTTAAGTTGTAATGTAAATTCCACAAAGTGACCTTTTTTGAGTAATGCATTTAACATGTAATAAGCATACTTCCGGTTGCTTTGGATAAAACCATCAGGTAAATAATGGTAAAGCTGAATTTACAATTTCTGAGATTTGTTTTGAAAAATCTGTAATTCGAAGCAATGGTTTTAATATGGTAACCTCGCAAACTACACTTTAAAAAAATATATAATTTAAAAAATAATCAATTTATTTTACAATGTAAATGTTGGTGAATTTTAACATTTAACAGATTCTATATGGCCAGCTAATGGAGGGCAGTCGTGGCCTGAGTCAGATTTGTAACCTTAAGGTTGCCGGTTTGATTCTCAAAAACGGCAGGAAAATGTAGCTGGGGAAGTCCTCTTCCACCGCATGACTGAGCTGCCCTTGAGCAAGGCACCTAACCCCCAATCGATCCCCGGGTGCTGCAGTAAATGGCTGCCCATTACTCCGGCTGCGTGTGTCCAGCATCTGTGATGCGACTGTATATTGGAGAAAAATGGGTAAGTTTGGCTTGAATCTGTGCTGGAAGCGGATCAGTCCTATTCTATCTTCAGTTGCTTTTTCCCCCCAAGTTCCTTCAAAACGCATGTTTGCTGTGGTGCCATGAGCCAACACACGTTCCTCACAGACTGATGGTGAAGAGTGCTTTCCACTGCAGGGATAATTTTAGCTGAGATTGTTTAACAGCTGCTGCAAGTAGACTAGCTCACTTGTTTGGTCCCTATTTATCTATGAGCACAAAAATGTAAAGCACTTCAGTGTCAGGATGTCAGCACATGACCAGAAACTTACACCAAGCACTCTGATGAGGGCGAGTCTTGCTCAACACCACTGACTAGCATGGTATTGTAGTGGAGAGTTATTGCGCCATCTTGTGGTAGCGATGGCATGTTTTGTCTGATGTAGTTTGACATAATAGACCTTATTCATAGCAGCGCCATTTTTAACAGGAATGAAAGTGAGGCTGTGAGGGATAGACTCACCTTTCAGTGAGTAACTGTACTGTTATTTATTGTTTTTGGGTGGTTCTGCTGACGAAACACTGCCGAAATATATTTTCAAGAAATTTTATTAGAAAAAAAAACTGCAGACATCATAAGCTGTGGAAAATGATCAACTAGCGTTTTTACAGTGGATGCTATTGAAAACATGGTAAGTCTATCCATCCCTCACAGCCTCGCTTTCATACCTGACATGGCGCTGCTCTGAATAAGGTCTATGCCACGGTTTTTATTTTTTTATATGGATGTATTGTTCTGATGGATTTTATTTCAAAATCTTTATTTAAAAAAAAAAAGAAATCACCCATGCTTGTTAAATGTTGGCAATGTTAGATTTCGCAACATTTATCTTTACTTCATTGTACAGTAATAACATTAAACTATCTGTTTTTACAAATATAGGATAACAAATGCGAACACAAGTTAAAATGTATACATTTCATATTTTCAGGCATAATATGTACAATTGGGTTTAGTTGAAGATCTCTTCACCCAGATTTTCACAATTTACATCACTCTTTCGCTGTTGGAGTTATTGGATTTTGTCGAAGATGGAATTGTTTCTGCAGAGCTGGCCTCTTATGACAGTCTCGCATATATTCACAGTAATGTTTCCTTTTTGCAGGACTATACATGTCACAATTGTCTCGCACAATCAAAAGGGTCTGTGCAGTCACAGTGAGTGTTCAAAAATCCAAAATGTCTGTCAGACTGTTAGTTCTACATCTATTTTCCATTTAAGAACTGCTTTTGACCAAGATGTGTCACGTTCCTTCTCTCATCAGCAGTCCAGAATGTTTACATGCTGCTCAGATCAGCAAATATATAATCAAGTATATCATAAACATCAAGAAATCACCAATAACATCTCATTTGCCAGTAAAAAAAATCCAAAGTCAGTGAAACCATCTCAATAGTGCATTACTGTTCTAGTGCATTATTGGTTAACTTCAAAGTGAAATTGTGGTGTAGTCAACAAATTCATAGAGGAAAAAGTAGGCAAAGACAAAATTTCCAATGCATAAGTCAAAATGCAGTCAACGAAAGTCGCATTGTTCGCATTTCATGTTGACTTTTCAAAAGTTGAATGATTCTCTTTATATGCATCACTCCACTCTCATTATGCATTTGTGCAAACATGTGAACTGATATTCTGTCTCGGTCTTTTTCGACAGCAATAACGTAGACAAGTTAGTGCAAGTGCCAAATCATAGCATGTTTATGACTAGTCGCAGTAGAGTAGACGACCCTTTTCTAGATGTGATTGGTCGGTGCTATACTGCAAGGTCGTCCGGTCTCATGCGGCTGCTGGTCCCGCTGCTCTTGCTGAACCTTCGCTTGTCCTCATCAAATTCCCTGCTGAGGAATGAAGGCGAGGCGCATGAGTTGGGCGTCTCTGTGGGTGCTTGTGAGAAGCTCAAGAAGTTGACCCCTAGGTAGTCTTGACCTCGGTGGCGTTCGGTAACCATGTTTGCCGAGTTCTGTTGGTGCACCAGTCGGTCGTGAAACGGCGGACAGGTTGGATGTATAAGCGAGTGTGCGTGTGTCTGTATGGTAGGGGAAGACGGTGGCGGTGTCAGGCACTGGTTGAAGTCGGGAGGCGGAGTGCAGGCTCGGTTTGGCGTGGACGGGTTTGGTGAGACTGCAGCCACGGTGGACGGCGTGATCGGTCGTTGTTTGGAAGTCTTATAATCGCGTAGCCACCTCTTGCACTGCTTCCACGCCAAATGATACAGTTCCACGACACTGAGAAACAGAGACACGGCGGCTACCGCCAGCATGAACACAATGAACACGTTCTTCTCCGTAGGTCTTGAGATGTAGCAGTTGACCGCATGTGGACACGGAGGAGCCTTACACACGTAGAGCGCGTTGAGGAAGACTCCGTAGATCAGATACTGGACTGTGATGAAGACCACCTCCATTACGAAGCGGATGAGGATACTAAGTACGTAGGTTTGTAGCAAAGCACCCTTCAATCGCACCTTCCCACCTCCACCTTCATCCTCCTTCCCACAGTCCTTGTCTTTTTCTGGGTACTTCTCCCCATCTCCATCTTCCTGCTCTTTCCGCTTTTTTTCCTCGCTGCGGACGCTGTGCATCGCATGTCCCATGTAGATGAGAGACGGCGTGGACACGAACACTATCTGGAGGACCCAGTAGCGTATATGCGCGATGGGAAACGCTCGGTCGTAACAAACGTTCTCGCACCCGGGCTGCTCCGTGTCGCAGGTGAAGTCTTCCTGCTCGTCGCCCCACGAGGACTCGGCAGCAGTTCCCAGGACCAGGATCCGGAAGATGAAAAGAATGGTGAGCCACACCTTCCCCACCGAGGTGGAATGTTCCTGGACTTCTTCTAGAAAGTTCCCCAGCAGACTCCAGTCAGCCATGACTAGTCAGAAGAGCCTGAGAAAAAGAGGTAGTGTGAAATGAAGGGAGCGGAATAGCATACTATACTCATACTATTTGGGTCAAAGTAGGATATGGGAAAAATAATACTATGCAAGTATGCTATTTCGAATTCAACCATAGTTTGTATAATCATGTCTAGTGCCTTCTCATGCTTTTCTAAAACAAGGACAAGGATGTCAAACATGCAGAGACTGTATATTTAGGTTGTGTTTGTGTTCTTCGATACAAACTTTTCCCACACACTCAAGTGCTGGGAGTCTGGGAAAAGGAGGCAAAAGAATTTAAGGAACCTACAGCTAAAAATAAGCGATGAAGCCGATATTTAGTGGAATTTGTTTTTCTGGGTGGAATGTTTCCTGTTATCATTCTAAAGCCATATGTTTGCTCATAGTAACATTCCCCATAAATGAAATTATTTTGGCATATTAAAATCCAATAAATGTGTTTAAACAGTATTAAACAACATTGTGCTGCATTTTTTTTTTTTTTAAAGACTTTAGCACAATAGTATCCCAACTCAGCTGCTAAAGCTTATCAAATGTAAATGTCATGGGAAAAGTTCCATTTGTCCTTTAGGGCAGGGTGTTGCTGGACAAACATCATGTGTATTATGTAGCTTTTTTGACTTAGTCTCTCTGTTCTGTCCTTTTATACCAATTACCAATTATTCAGTGTAACAATGTTCCTTATTTCTCTCTCGCGCTCTCTCTCTCTCTCTCTCTGTCTCTCTATCTCAAACTGGAATTTAGCGTCAGAGTCTCAGTCCTCCAGGGGGTTTATGGAAAGAGGGAGCCCAAAATACTCTCATCACTTTAACATGAGAACTTGGGAAAGACTGTGTGTGTTTAAGGAGCAGTTTGTCTGTGGGAAGCATTGAAAAGTATAACACTGTGTGTAAACAGACCTTATTCAGATTCACATTATTTTAAGAAAATGTTTCAGCAAGGAGGGAGTGTTCAGTCTTTATCAGCTGGCTCCTCGAATCTAACCACACAGAATGGACTTATTGCTTTATTACTGGTTTGGCTAACAAGTTTTGATTTGTCTCTTAAATTATTAATATTGCTTCATACTTTATAGACAGACATTTATTTTCTTGCTTTCATTTATTATGCCTGAACATAATTATATCCTTATATGCAGGATTTACATGTGTGTATAATCAGACTTGCATACATTTATTATTTATTATTCTGGAATACATGATGATTTTTCATTTGTGGCATTGAGGTCAAATCTATTTTTGTATAATGGCCTTAAGATAAGATAATACAATAATTTTAATTAAAATTAAAATGAGATGTTTTTTATTTATTTATTAATAAGTGGAAAAATACAGTCATCTGGTAATTATCCCAAAATAACGCCCTTTAGGGTGATAGAAGACCTTGTCTCGACCCTAACATCTGTTTTTCTCTCTCAATAATGACCAACTGACTGTACATATCCGTTGCATAGTTTACTATATGTTCAGATTTATTGTTATATATTCAGAATTGATATAATTATTTCCTGTTTGCTATATGTATTGTAATGTTATCAACAAATACCAGGAAGGGCAGTTTGGCATCAGATGTGGGAACCACGTCTTTAAAGACAGACTGAATGTGGCGGAGTCTCTATATAAGTGTGTCTCGCTCCCCTCCTCTTTAAGGAAACAATCTTAAACAATATCATTTCCCTCTTACAAGGCACTTGAAAGGAAACTGACTGGGTTCAAGTCACTGGGGCCAAAGAGGTTAACGGCACATGTAAAAGACTGTGTATTCAGTCATTCAGTTCAAATGTTTATATAATGTTTAAATATAATATAATAATGTTATATTTAATTTATTTTATTTTTGATAAATGACATATTAAATAATATGATATGTGATATGGTATTCAGTTAAATTCAATTCACATTTTTTTGTGCAACTCTTTTCACAACATATCGTTTCAAAGCTGTATTTCATCTTAGCTGTATTTATTTTTGCCAAGTTATCTTAGTGTTAGTTGAGCCTTAATGCTATTGTTAAGTAGGCTAAGTAAAGTAAATGATCTGTCCATCTCAACCTAACTGAACCTTATGCAAACCAGACATTTACATGTGGGTTTTGTTGCAGGGATGTTTTTAGGTGATTCCAAAAGTAGGCCATGGGTCAGCAAACTGTACATCAACAGTCTACTGTATGTGAACGTTTCTCAGCGCTATTTCTGTGTCAGTGAAACTTTCAGGAGGAAGGTGGCGAGACCTACTCCCTTCTCCACTTGTTTACCCGAGGAAGGGAGAACAATGTGGGTGTTTTTTTTTTTGTGTGATTTTTGCGGCAGGGGCATCTGGAGATAGAGCTGCTAAACAGCCATCAAGAAGAGAACCATGCTCTTCCGGTCTCGGTTTGAGTCAGCACTGTGGCAGACGGCACGATAAAGAAAGCCTGCTCGCTACATAGATGTGGAGTTCAACGTCAATAGCAAGGCAAATGGAGATTCTGAATGTATAAAATACAGTAAAAATTGAGCTTAGTTTTAATGAAGTGAATTCAACAGCTAAGCCACTATTGCTAAAGGAATCCAGGCATGGTGATAAGGGGTCTTGTATCACTCTGAAGGTGTTTATTTTGTGATAATGTCATGTCATGCGGGCTGTACTTTATCCGGCTTGTTTGAGTGACAGAGAAAAGATTAATCTCACACAAGTAACCAATGACCTTTCTTCTTTCTCTTTTAGTTTCAGTGAGAAGTCTAACATGACATTCTGTATGATTGTATGTATTTATTTATTCATGGATTCCTTTTTATTTGTTTTTATTCATCTATTTATTTATTTGGTAACACTTTACAATAAGGTTCATTAGTTAACCTTAGTTAATGTATTAACTAACATGAACTAACCATGAGCAATACATTTGTTACTGTTTTTTTTTTTTACATTTGTTACTGTTTATTATTTTTATTTGTTTTATTTATTTGTTATATTTACTTAATTGTTTGTATTTGTTTATTTGTTTTTTTAATTTGTTTATTTGTATTTATTTATATTCATATTTTTTTATTGTTATAGTTTTGTGTTTGTATTCTGCTAAGCTTCAGATAATTTGACAATACAACAGAACAATTAGTTGTCATGCTTGTTATAAAGCACATTAAAACTGATATGATCTTAGATTACTGCTCTCACTACTGATCTACCCATCTAAACCTTTTCCTCTTTATCTGGGTAAATAATTCTGGTTTGTTTTTAGGATTCAAACTAGGAAGTGATACTGGAAGTGAAATCCTGAAGTTTCCCCGATATTATATAGTTGATATTCATCTTACACTGATTCATCTCTGAACAGATGGACAGTGTCTGGTTTACAGTCCAGAAAATCTAGCAGAAGATGAGCTGCAGGAGTGTTTCCAGAAGAATGGGTGTGTGTGTGTGCATGAGTGTGTGATCAGCCATTTAATGCAGCTGACAGCGTGACTGAAATAAGTTGATGACATCTGGAAACTAAGAACAGCAAAAGGAGCAGCTAGGCTAAGCTTTCGAGATTGAGTTCTGCCATCGGATCGTCCCTCACGAGTCCGTTCAAGGCTCTCACTGTGTGTGTATTCAGAGATGCTCTCCTGGGAACCATCATGACCCTTCATTCATCAGGCTTTTCCTATTAGTTCCCAGCATGTTAATTTATTAGAGAGACCAAATATTGATCTGCAGCCAAAGTCTGTAAGGTTAGATTAAATTAGATGGTTAGATCAGTGAAGCGCCTATTGAATTTCATATTTTCATATTCAAAATTCAACTCCTTAAACTCTAATTAAATTCAGGAAGGCGTGTGTGTGTGTGTGTGTGTGTGTATATATATATATGGAATCATTTTGACCATGCTTCAATATTCGACGCTTTAGGCACCCTTTAGCGTCAGTTACATGACGCGATCCTAGGGCGTCATCTTACTGACGCTTTACCTTTAACGTCAGTTAGATGACGCTATCTAATCCTAACCCTACCCCAGACCTAAACCTAGCCGCGTCATCTAACTGACGCTAAAGGTAAAGCGTCAGTAAGATGACGCCCTAGGATCGCGTCATGTAACTGACGCTAAAGGGTGCCTAAAGCGTCGAATATTGAAGCATGGTCAAAATTGTCATTTTAGTGACGCCTTGGGATGAGAATGCGTTGCCAGCATATATATATACACGTGTGTGTGTATATATATATATATGTATATACACACATACATGTGTGTGTGTATATATATATATATATATATATATATATATATATGTGTGTGTGTGTGTGTGTCCTTTTGGGACTCGAGACCTTTAAGAGAAAGATTTGTCAGTGATATTACAACAGGTTTACAGTGTTTGAAAGGTCAGCGATACAATCTATAAAAACCTCTGCATTAAAGGCTTCATCTGCAGTGTTTTATCAAGAAGTAAATCATGCCCAGCTTTTTCAGCTGCATCTGCTTAAACTGACAATTAGCAAGAGGATCTAGAAGCTACACCTTAACAAAGCTAACTGAAACCGAAAAAATGTGTGTGAGTGAATCTGTAACTGTTTTCATACCTTTAACAGCTGTAGATCTGTCAGGTGTCTCTTAAAGATCAGACGGGAGTGTGTCTGTCTCTCTGTAGACTGATGGGTAAAGACTTGGCTGTTTAGTAATAATGCTTGACAGATTCTTGTTCGCTCTGTCTCTTTACCCGAGAACCCTCGCTGTCTCTTCTGCCTTTAGGATGTGGGATTAGTTGCCAGAACCACTTGGCGGTCTGACAGTCGCAGAGCCTCAGAGACCTCCGAGCTTCAGCAGAAGCTTCACTTTGATATATGGTTCTGTTCGTATGTTCTCTGTGATTAACGCCTGAGGTCGAGTGTCTCGGATCAAAGATCCGCGCTGAACAATCTGGATCAGAGTCAGACTGTTGATGCTTTCTTATTGGTGTGGATGTTGAAGACCTGAAGCAGGTACGTTGACGCCTCAGCGTGATACGGGGGATTGAACTATGCTTCTTCTTTTCCCTGTCGTATCTTCCTGACAGGGTCGAGTTGTGGACACAAGGCCGTTTGCAGACAGATCGCTTCTCGCTCACTTGTTGTCAGTATAATCCACAGGCTGATGGCGAAAATGGACTCTTTATTACCCCGGTTGACAAAAAGAAATCTGTCTCCTTCAACGACAAAGCTTGGATGAACCGCTGCAGTTGTTCAGAATCTCTGCTGGGTTTGAGATAGGAAAGATGAATGTCTTTATAGATGGTCAACTCTGTTGTTTCCGCCCAATAAAGAAACCTTCTGATACATAGTGTAAAACAAGCAAATCAATTCAGTCTTCCTTGTCCTCTCGGTGTCATTTCCAGGGGACGACAGATTACAGACGTGCTGATAACCAGAAACAGCTGCTAGCAGGCCGACCACCGTCATGAACCATCTGGAAGTGCCCTCATACTCGAAGGGCATGTTAAGAAATACCAACAGAGCCGTTCCACCTCCTTTCCCTCCCTTTCCTTCTCCACCTCCTTCTACTCCTCTTTCCCCTCTCCTCTCACAATGCTTCACTGCCACTCTATTTTAGTTGGAGGAATATCTCATCATCAGGAAGGAAAGTGAGATTGTATTGAGAAACAATGGGGATTGGTCTCAGGCTTGTGGTCTCATGGTAATTATTCGGAGCTATAGAAGTTTCATGCGACTTGTTGCTTTCAGCTTTACTTTAATATGTGCAAAACCAAGTAGGCAGATATGTTTGTAGTTTTATTCATCGGTTTTATCAGAAACTAGCATGCACTCTTTTCGACAGATTATACTCATCCATTATACAGTAGTATTTTATAGCAACACATATTTTTAAGGTTAAAAATTCTTAAAATTTAACACAGTTCATAGAAACCTGCGATTTCGTCTGAATTCTCTGATGACACGGTGCTTAAATTCATTTGCATTTATTTGTTTTATACCTGTGGCCTCTGAAAAATGCTGTATCCTTTTTATTTTTTTCATTTTTTTAAATGAAGTGTCTTATGTTTACCAAGGCTGTACTTATTTATTCAAAACTACAGTAAAAACAGGAATATTGTAAAATGTTATTACAATTTAAAATACCTGTTTTCTATTTGAATACCGTATATTTTAAACTGTAATTTATTCCTGTCATGCAAAGCTGAATTTTCAGCATCATTACTCCAGTCTTCAGTGTCACATGATCCTTCAGAAATCATTCTGATTTGCTGATTTGGTGTCTAACATTTTGAAACACAAATGTCTTTCACTGTCACTTTTGATCAATTTAATGCACACTTGCATGAATGGTAATAAGAAAAAAAAAACTTTGTATGGGGATTGTTTGAAGCATATTATCATGCTGATTTTTTCAGTTTATCATCAGTATAATCAAGATCAAGAAAACCCATCGAGTATCAACGTGACTTCAATAAGCTGTTCAAAGTGCCTTGTGGTCTCTAAAATCAAGCTCAAATTAAGTTACGAGGATTTTGAGGACGAGGTTTATTGGTTAAATATTTGCAAAACCCACAGACAGACGTAAAGTGTGACCAATAATAATGATTTATGGAAAAAAATTATAGAAAATAATGAAGATACAAGTTTTTTTAACTATATTTTCAATTTTGTTAATTCATGTCTTAAATTGTTTTACGATTAGAGTGTACTTATAATAATAATTTTTAAATAAATATCTATTTCTCCTTATTGTAATTGGGCCCCCCTGGTCATGCGGATGCATAAATCCGGCCGTCTCTAACAGAACATGTGGGATTTACTCATCCATCAAAGCCATTACAATGCTTCTCATTGCCTCCCTCACAACCTTTTAAAAAAGTAAGATGGCACACTACCAGCTCGACAACAAATATCTCTTTTATAATCCTTCACTTTTATGAGTGATGCAGGCACATGACGCTTGTTCAGACATGGTATTGGCAACGGGACATTGAAGAGACCCACCATGTGACCAAACTAGCTTTGGGCCACTGTTGAGTTTCATCAGTTTGGAGATTGGTTTCTTTGTTTCTGTTTCTGACACTCACAGTGAAATGTATTTTCAATCAGTCTTCAGGAATGTGATCTCTAATTAAACATGTTTATCAGTTTATAAATCACATAAGTATTATTAAGAATATAAGTGTGCTTGTCCTTGCAAAAATTGTGGGTCATTATGCTATGGCGTTGTGGGTGGTTGCCAGAGCATTATGTGCAGTCAATATGGTGTTCTTGGTTGTTGCCAACCAGGGTGGTTTAAATTGTTTCTAGGGTGTTGCTATGGGTATGGCCAAGTCAAAAGAGCTGACTTAAAGGTTAGTTCACCCAAAAAGGAAAATTCTGTCAGTAATTACTCACCCTCATGTTGTTCCAACCCCGTAAGACTTTCGTTCATCTTCGGAACACAAATTAAAATATTTTTGATTAAATCTGAGAGCTGGATCACTCCTCCATAGGCTTCTTAAGGGATCGAAACTGACCGGCCCAAAAGTTATGAAAGACATTGTTAAAATAGTCCGAGTGACTACAGTGGCTCAATCTTACGCTTATCAAGCGACGAGAATACTTTTGTGCGCAAAAAACAAACAAAAATAACGACTTTATTCAACTATTCATTTCCTTCTCTATGGACCGTGATATTTCATGTAGTGATATTGCGCAAAGCTTCTAGGTTGCACGTCACACGTTGGCTCACTATTGGCCGACGCTGGTCAAGTGTGTGATGCGTGACGTAATGAAGCTTTGCGTTGTTTCACTATGTGAAATATCACGTCCGTACAGAGAAGGAAATGAATAGTTGAATAAAGTCGTTATTTTTGTTTGTTTTTTGCACACAAAAAGTATTCTCGTCGCTTGATAAACTTAAGATTGAGCCACTGTAGTCACTCGGACTATTTTAACGATGTCTTTCATAACTTTTGGGCCGGCCAGTGTCGATCCCTTAAGAAGCCTATGGAGGAGTTATCCAGCTCTCAGATTTCATCAAAAATATCTTAATTTGTGTTCCGAAGATGAACGAAAGTCTTACGGGGTTGGAACAACATGAGGGTGAGTAATTACTGACAGAATTTTCATTTTTGGGTGAACTAACCCTTTAACGTCTTTGCTATTCTATGATGGCTTATTTCCCTCTGTCACTGTTAGTATATTGGGTGCATTGCACGATTGCATTGAAAAGGTTTTAATCTCGAATCGTAATATGAGCAATAGAATGAGTGAGGCTTGCCTTTATAAACACAACTAATAATACAAACCAGTGTTGCTTGTGTTCCCTAATAGAGCTGATCCGGGTGCAGGAATCACTCAAGGGAAAGTGTGACTGTGGCACTTGAAGTTGTCATCAACACCACTGTGACCCACGGCATTCTCTCATCAGCCCTGCATATGCGGGGAGAGATAAAATGCCTTTCTCTTCATTTAGCCCAGCCACAGGATCATGTGAAGAGAATCATCCATGTGCCTAAACCAAGTCTGAAACGAGGTCAGTGAGGGGTAAAAATGATAATATGGACCAATGCTATATATTGCTCAAACAGCTAAAGGTCAACAGTGGGTTTAATCAGCTCTAGTTACACCTTGTGTATTCTTTAAACTTAAGAAGACAATGGCACTTTAAGTCATATCAATTGTATTTCAACCTTTGGAAATCATTGCATGGACCATTGTAAGGATGGTGACCTGCCCTGACCCCTCACATTTTACCCACCTAGACAGCGTTAATCCAGCTGATGATCGCGCATGAAAAGACAAACTTTTCCTTTATTTATTGCTTGTATGCTTCTGTCACTCATATTGACCTTTATTGTCGTCCTAACAGCCGAGCGGATTATTACGCAAAAGGCCTCTGCAAACATTCTCAAAAGCTAAACAAAACATTGGCAATGTTCAAAGTGATATTCCTGGCTTTTTTTCTACATAGACAAAAAAAGCAGACCAACCTCTTGGTGTCTGTCTCCGTCTCCTCTTGTGTTCTGGTGTCAAAGCTCATTTTCTTGTTCACCCTTTGGAAACAATGGAGAAAAGAAGGCAGCTTTACACACTCAGCAAAAATCTTTATCGAAATTCGAATTCATCACAATGGTTGTGCTGATACCTTAGACTCCTTTCAAATCTGACATTCAGACTCAGCTTTAAGATTACGGGGGGCAGAGGTTAAAAAAATATATTAAGCAGACATCTGCAAAAAAAATTATGCTAAAGCTTTTCTCAGAACTAACTAAGCTATTTTTATCAGATGTGTGAATAATGCCATTTCAAGCAGAAGGAAGTATCCAAAAAAAAAAGTTGTTATTTCCTACAGATATACAGTACACACCTAATATTATCTATTTGTTTTGTGTGTGTTTTGCTTTGAAAGTGTGCTTGTGCTACTTTTCTTTTAAATAAATATCTTGTTGGATATTTTATTTATTGCCATATGTTTTTTTTATGTGGCTTAAGTATAACTTAAGTGAGCATTTAAAAAATATTTGTTTTCTTGCATGAAAAATGAAAACAAATCATGTCCTTGTAGTCAGCTAAAACGGCAATGAAGGTGTGAAAATTGCAGCTAAGACAGGAACTTATGGTAGAAATATATTTTAATCGTTCAAGTGCCGTTTTTTGCACATATGATACATGGGAGTGTGAAACTAATCACAATGTTAAAATCACCTCTATCTCTTTTTCAGCCTGTTCTCACGTAAATGCGTCTCTATAGCACGCATTGTGTATTATCGTGCAATTTATACGCGAAAATGAGTTTTTACGTGCATATGATACGCAGTTTTCGCGTGCATTTGATACGCAGTTCATTTGCGTGTAATACACACGCACCCCACACCACTAATTCTACCCAAACGTATAATACACACGCACCCCACACCACTACTAAACCTACCCTAACCAACTCATGCGTATCCTCTGCACGTAAAAACTCATTTTCGCGTATAAATTACACGATAAACACAGTGCGTGCTATAGAGACGCATTTAGTGTGATCGGGTTGCTCTTTTTATAGGGAGCCGCAAAGCTGCAGAATGCTAGCAAGTGATAAAGACACCCTGTGCATCAGGGTTATCGCCTGAGAGAGAGTGGACCCTTCTACGACCTGGTGTTAGAGACCGCTCTGACCACATCCTGACAGAATCCTGGCTGAGAGAAAGAGCCAGACAACCAGACGTTCTTACACGCCAATGACAGTTGCATGCATTTATTTGGTTAGTAGAGTTCCTGTGGATTTCCAAATTAACTAGATTAAGTTGTCAATGACTCAGCATAATCCAGCACAATTCTTCAAAACTAATGTACAGTTACATTTAGCTGTTTCCTGAGCCATGCATTAACAACAATGTATTGTAGACAGTTTTATTGACCTTAGGTTTAAGGTCTGATGAAGTCCGGATGATGATGACCGAAGAGGTCAATTTAAAAAAACAAAAGAAACATCCATAGATGTTTATAGAAAACAGATACTATGAATTTTCATTCCATGCCGACTCAAAGTGAAGCATGAAGAAAAAAACGCTCAATAAGAACTCGATGAACTCTACTTTGAATTGATGGCCAGGTTGATTGTCAAGATGACTTCCCCTTTTTTAACCTCCTTAGAAAATCCATGTTCTATACTTTTTAGGGCCATTGGACTCTGTCTTTTAGCGTCTCTTTGTGACTCTACCTTCCGTCTTTCTATTGTATTGCCATAGGCCTTTCTTTCCTCTTGCTGTACCCTAACCAACATGTACACACACAGGAAGTCTCATATCCATTTCCTTAGAGATTGGACAAAACAATTGATCACCTTTTCTCCACCCTTTCTCCTGCCTATTCACTATCGTATGTGATGCATTAAAGGCCATAGAAAGCTGGGACTCTTGGTCAGGGTGTGGTTAGATAGTTGTTTGTTACCATACTTCCAGGAAAATAACTATTTTAAACCCTATGTATGTGGACACCTTGTCTTCCGGTACATTCCGGGTCTTGGAGGTAACACTTATAGATGTTTAGGCTTTTGTTATCCAGAAAGACTGGACAGTGTCCCAGTAAAGGTCCCATTTTAAATTTCCAGATAATCTTTATTAACTGCAAGTTTGTCAACTCTAACAATGGGCCAACCAAACTAAGTAGTTAAGAGGCATGCCAAGAGTGTTCTCCATTGTATTCTAAGCAGTTGTTTTACTCTAGAAAGTGGCATACACAGATATGATGAAATAATTCTATAATTCTGCGCTGCAAGTCTACAACGAGGCTTCATTCACTCTTCAGTCTCCCGTGTGGAATGGAAGTGAACTGAATCAGGTAAATCCTCCTTATTGTTGCTGGTATCTCTGGTATGCACAAAGAACAGAGAAGAGAGACCCACATTGGATCCATCAAATAGCTGGCGCTGGAATAGGGATTAATGGGGATTACCACAGAAGAACAGAGGATAGGCACCACTGTCAAACCATGCAGGAGTTCTCTGTGAGTCTGAAGCAATATTTAAAAATCAAATCACCTTTTAAATTAAATTTGGTACATTGTGTTAATAATGTACAAATGTGTGGTCCAGCTGGAAAGACCAGTATATGTTGCGTTTTTGATGTTGCTCTCCAGAATGGGATGCAGTGAACTGATTTTCCCAGCAGGCTTCTAAACTAACTTAACAAGCGAGACTTCCTTGGTCACCCTAGCCTGGCAAGCCAGACCTACATCAAGATGTTAGGTCTGGGAACTACCAATTGGCATACCTCAATCCGAGGGGCGGGATAAACTGTTGTCTTTCAAAAATACCTCTGCATGCAATAGGACAGCGCTACAACCAACCAGAGCAATGAACGGCTGTGGCTGTGTGAGACCTGTGCGTTTTCCCACCAGCGGAGCTAGTTGATATATTAAACTTTTGCCGTATCCGGTCGTCAAAACTCCGAACACATCTTCCTTTTTTAAGAATGACTTAAGTGACGTTCTCTTAACTCCAAATCATCCAGAGTCGCGGCCAAAGCCGATTCGAAAGACCGCTGTTCGCCAGCAGCATCTTCTTGGTTTTCAAGTAGCCAGAAATTCAAATCACCTATGGAAATCACGCGGGGGAACTGTCACAACTCTGCCGTCATTATGTTAAGCCCGCCCACCAACTCTATGCACGATGTGATTGGCCTGACCAGAGTTTGGTTTTTCCAGCTCGAATGCCAACGGAGAGTTGCTAGACCACACTTTGCTGCAAAATACTTTTTGCTGCCGCTAGGGTGCGTCTAGATTTCTAGGCTATGGTCACCCACCATTAACCAAAAGATGATGTGAATGGTTTGTACGTCCACCAGCTAGTCCCGGGGTGTCCAATCCTGCTCCTGGTGGGCCAACGTCCTGCACACTTTAACTCCAATCTGCTTCAACACACTTGCCTGGAATTTTCAAGTGAGTCGGAAGATAGAGAGGTCCTAAGTCGTTCAGTGAGAGAGGTTCAAAGACGGCCATTGTCACGGTCTTGTGACCAAAGATAGCCTGCGATAATTTTCTGACAGTGTCAGAAATTTAGCATGATCAATGTGTTTGCTGCCACGACCTAAGTCTACTGACTAACCAATAAAATTGCAACATGAAATGGCGTATTGATCAATGTGACATGGCACTAAAACTACTTAACTCAAGCTCCATTTGCAAGATTGGCATGCCAACCTGGCCTCTTTTCCATAGCCATGACCGCATACATATTCTCCTCTTTCGCGTCCTCCTCTTTTTTTCATTGCACATAAAAACCACAATTGCCAAAGTGTGATTCATCTTGCTCTATCTGTTTACCACCATCGCATGCTGATGACGTTTTACTCTTCTATAATAACTTGCGTCGTAGCCTATGATTCAATAGGTGTCATCATCGTACAGTCTACATTCATGTTGTACCCAAGTTTATTAGATCCATATTATTAGATATTAGATCGTACAATGTGATTTGTAATGATCTTATAGGATTGCCGAAATCACACAGTCTGCAGCAGACATAATTAGAGTTGGAGGACAGTGGCCCTCCAGAAGCAGGTTTGGAAACCACTGAGATAGACCGACAATAACACGCATAGACCAGCATTAAGGCAAGTGGGTTCTTAGATAAAATATAATGACTATGGCTGGAAAAGCCTTTTTTTTCCAGTAATTCAGAACTGTGCTAGTGAAAAGAAGGGTCAATCATTTTAAGTAAACCTACACTGTCGCACTCAACTTGCCTTAGTTATCCAACAGATACAGTTTTTGTGTACTGAGATTGAGAGCATACAGTATGTTGCTCCCAGCCTTTTCCCTTGCTAATGGTTAATGCTATGCTAATGCTACACTTTCACTGTATCCTACGTAGTTTTATGGCAGTCAGCGAAATCGTCCCTCAGGAGCAGGAAACGTGGTGTAACAGCATGTAGGCAGATCCCTGTAAGATAACTTTGTTTGAGGGAATGTCCAATGCCTAGCCATAGCCTGGGGCCTGCTTCATTCGCACAATCTGGGATCATGCCTCAATGCGCACGTTTAATAGACACAGCGGACTTCATAATGACATCATGCCTTTGTTTGAAATCCCAACACCCATTGACCACTATGCTGCTGGCTTAGGCTTCCAGCGCCAGCAATATCAACAAGTAGCACCTTTAAATGAAGGCTCCAGGGTCAGGCTAACATGAGGACTGTTTGCTCCAACTTTTTGCATACTCTATGCAGATGGTGTTGAACTACTTGTGTAGGGCTCTGTTTGAAACCCCATGTAAGAGTTGACTTTAGACAAGTACTTGCAAAGGTTAGGATAGAATACATTTATTTATTGTCAGGCTACATCAGTTGCCAAAGTTGTCATTAGATGGTCTTTGCTTTTCTCCAAGCCTGGTTTTGCTGGTTTGAGAGGAGTTTGGGGCACTTGTCAGACTGGGAGACTAGATTGCAAACCAGCTGAAGACCAGCTTAAAGCAGCTAAGGCTTGAGATGGTCTTATGTAGTAGCAGAAATAGGGAAAATTCACATGTACTTATATTTGTTTCCCCAACTTTTAACACTGGCATCTTGAAAAATCCTGGTGCAATCAACCTAGTAACTGGAGAATCTCAGATCCTTCAATCTTAGATCCTTCACTCTCAGATCCTTCAGAGTTGATCCAGTTATTTTCCTCTGGCGATCTGCCAGTTTTTGTATTTCATTCTATAGTAAATGCAACAGGGTCAGTATCCAGGACTTTGTATAATACCAATACATTTTTTAACACCTACTTGTGATTTATTGCAGAGGAGTAACTAGTGTTTAATAGGAAAACATTTTTGCATACATGCAAATCCCTGCCCCCGCCCTCCAAACATTCACATAACCCACCCACTGAACATCATTCTTTAGTATCAGCCAATGGCAATGCTTAGTCCATGATGTCATTTCTAGAGCACATTCCAGTTGGATAAAAAGTGGTCCACATGGGCTAAAGCATTGTCTAGAGAGGGATTATTGGTTGTGGTTCTGACTAATTAGACTTGATATGTTTGAGTCAAGAAGTATGTGTAAAATGTTGCTTGACCTACTGTATTAAAGTGACATATCTACATTTTTAAAAAATCTAAATGCATGGCCCCTTTCATGAGTTTACCAAAGGAAATCAGTTTCATGATAACATGGTGTTGGTTTAGCCATTCCCTGATGCAGTGTGTCACATGAGATACAAAATATATAAATAAAATGAATTTCTCATGATTAAGTTTGATCTAGTAGTGTTATCAACCATATATCATAAACTCTAAAAATACAACAAAATTAGCATGTTTAAATGTTTGCTTGATTGGGATTGGTATTTTGAAAAAGTTGCTCTGTTTTCCCCCAAACTAGCCTGTTGCCAGCTTTTACGCTATTCTATGCCTTCAAAAAATAAAAAATCTATCACTGTGATGAAACAAACTTTCTCTAATGGTTTTAGCATGTAGCATAGGATTACCCTGGGCATTTCGAAGTAAAAATGTACATGTAAACAAATGATGGTTTTCTTTTGTGAAAAGCTCAACTTACCACTGCAGTGCTCACTTCCTGTAAGTCAAAGAACAAATGTTTCTGAGAAATGTGACCAGAGATAGATGATTGCTAGATAGATAGATAGAACACTGCTATTTCAAACTCAAGTAACAGTGAAGTGAATCTCACAATCATGCTTTAATGAGCACCATGTCAAGTTTACACTTTTAAAATTGCCCTTTGCCCAATGCCAGTGACACATACGTTCCCATTTGTGTTTGTGAATCCTATTGTGCTACGCGTCACCATGCGTCGCCCTCTGAATAAAGGCTGTCTGGCTCCCAGCTTAAATATTGCAGCAAACTAAAAACCAACCATCAGACTGGATTCATTCACTTCTGCTCACTCGTGCGACAAGGATTGTAGGCCATAGGTGGGAACCAGAGAGCAAAAAGTTCACTTCACACCACAGTGTGCCAAGAGAAGGGGGAACACACATACTCTGGAGCTCTTACTGTGGCAAGTTGCCCATTTTATACTGTTTACCTATATTGCTGTTTGTTCTATATAGAGCACTGTTGGTGTGAAGGTATGCATTTTAATCAGTTGTAGAGAAGTCTTTTTCTTTTGTGACTTGTTTGGCCTGTTTTCTTGGACCAGGGTGGAAGATTTGATTATCTTTCAAATTCTAGATAAAGATCAGATGGTGCTGATGCCACAAACATTATTTTTTTAAATAACTATCGCAAGCGGAATGACCTTTACAACAGTACATTGTTTGGGACAATCTATAATCATGAAGTGTAACTGTGAGTTGTAGTCTAATAAGATTCCTTCACATCTCTTTTGTTTGTTCCGCAGTGCTGACAGTCAACCATGGGTGACTGGAGTTTCTTGGGCAACATCCTCGAGGAAGTAAACGAGCATTCGACGGTAATCGGTAGGGTGTGGCTCACGGTCCTCTTCATCTTCCGAATCCTCATCTTGGGCACCGCCGCGGAGTTCGTGTGGGGCGACGAGCAATCGGATTACGTGTGCAACACGCAGCAGCCGGGTTGCGAGAACGTTTGCTACGACGAGGCATTCCCCATCTCGCACATTCGGCTGTGGGTACTCCAGATCATCTTTGTTTCCACACCCTCTTTGGTGTACGTGGGCCACGCTGTCCACCATGTACACATGGAGGAGAAGCGCAAGGAACGGGAGGAGGCTGAGCTCAACAGACAGCAAGAGATGAACGAGGAGAGGCTGCCGCTCGCGCCCGATCAGGGAAGCGTCCGTACGGCCAAGGAGACGAGCACAAAGGGCAGCAAGAAGTTTCGTCTAGAGGGCACTCTCTTGAGGACCTATATCTGCCACATTATCTTCAAGACTCTCTTTGAGGTAGGCTTCGTGGTGGGCCAGTACTACTTGTATGGCTTCCGAATTCTGCCGCTGTACAAGTGCAGCCGTTGGCCGTGCCCAAACACGGTTGACTGCTTCGTCTCAAGACCTACGGAGAAAACCATTTTCATCATCTTCATGTTAGCCGTGGCCTGTGTCTCACTTTTCCTCAACTTTGTGGAAATCAGCCATTTAGGCTTGAAAAAGATCCACTTTGTGTTCCGTAAACCGGTGCGGCCGCAAGTCGAGGGACCAGGGGCGGGCGAGAAGACCCTGCCTTCCATAGCAGCCTCCTCCATCCAGAAAGCCAAAGGCTACAAGCTGCTGGAGGAGGACAGAGCCACGTCGCACTTCTTCCCCCTGACTGAGGTAGTGGGGATGGAGGCTGGCCGGCTGCCGGCTCCGTACGAGCCATTTGAGGAGAAATCGGACGACGCGACCCTTCCTAAAAAAGACATGTCTAAGGTGTACGATGAAACTCTGCCCACCTACGCCCAGACGACAGTGATAGGACCGAGTGCAGCGGCGGGAGTTCTACACAGGGATGAAGACGAGGACGAGATGGCCGTCGAAGCAGACGTGGAAGCCAGTGAGACGATAGAAGACACTCGACCGCTCAGCAGCCTGAGCAAGGCCAGCAGTCGGGCAAGGTCAGATGACTTGACGGTATAAATAATACAGAACTGGATTAGAAGTGCAGCAGTATAAATCGTAGTCTTGGGAAAAGCGTAGAAAGTAAAAACGAGTGAGAGGGGGAAAAAAGAGGTGCCTTTAGGCAATTTATAATACCAGCTTGTTATTTTGAGGAAGAAAACAATTGAAAAAAATAATGCTGTGCAATTTTTATGAGGAAACTTGAGAGCTTGATTCATTTTTTTATACAGCAGTATTTTTTGTACTGTTTTTATCAAACAGTTAACAAACCAAAGTTAGTGATCTGCAGCAGCTAGATCTACGTCGGGAGGAGTTGGGGGAACTTATTTAGCAAAATGTGCTGTTTTTTTTAATAATAACATTTTCTATCCAGAATTTTACTTATCGAAGGTGAGATTCTGATGTTTACATTTTTTGGATTAGCCATTAGCTGAATGTTGTATGTGATATTTTGTTATTATTCTGATAAGAAAAAACTGTCAGGGCATCATTCTTTTCACCTCAACAATTTCAACCACACATGATGATAATTAATCAATCTTATTTTGATTTGTATGTGAATGGTACTGTAATGGATAGGTGTATGTGTGAGGTGAAACACATGCTGATAGTTTTGTTGCACAGTCGTTCATCATGGCATATTAGCAAAATATAGACTATTTATTTAAAAGAAATGACCACCGCTGATATACGTTAAACATAATTCCTTGTTTCTCGTTTCAGTAAATTACATAATGAGTCTCTTGATTTCATAAACTGTAGGTCAGAGTTTATCTAGCAATAACTGTAATAATAATAATTGCATTAGCCATAGAAAAGATTGTTGGCCACATTTTTTCTAGTCTCTCTGCGCATGCAACCATGATGATGATGATAAAGATCATGCCCAATCAGCACAAAGTATTGTTCAACAAGAGACAATAAAACAACATTACATGACATGTCACCACAGACAGTCTGACATCCTTGATGTTGTTGGAAACACCATTTTCACGCTTTTGCCCTCCATGATGCTTTATTTAAATTAAAAATATTTTAAAGGGCGAGAACAGAAGTGTTTCACCCCTTTATTGACTCAACATTTGTGGCAGAGACATGTCTTTTGTTTTAAACTATGCCTTGGAATTTAGTATGATACATAGAAAAAAAGGTCATGTAAGAGTTTTAGTATTCAATTATTTTACTTTGTTATTTATTGTAATTATTACTCCTGACCAAATAAATTGTCCCTTTGTTTGTAAAACATCCACAGTTCTAACAAAGTCATAACACATAATTTACTGAAATCTATAAAAATTGTTCATTTCACGTCAAATGAGTGTTTATGATAACAGGCATGTCAAAAGAGTTCAAACTACCTGCATTTTATATCTTTTCTTTTCTCCTCTACCCTGCTAATGGTTTCATATTAGTTTGGTTTGAATGTAAAATTGTTTTATTTTATGTTGTTGCCATGTAGAGAAGATAAACTTTTCCAGAACCCAAAGAAATGACTGGAACTAGAACTGAAACACAAATTTTCTGTACTTTTCAGCGGCTATATGCCGTATGTGGATGATCTCTCCTTTAAAGTGAACGTGATTTCACCAAGTACACAATCAACATCTGATCCTGGAACAACATTCCAATCAACCAATCAGATTTGAGGGACACGTTTTCACGTTTTAGCTTACAACAGGTTTTGGTGCTTCTACATCAGTGTTATTCACCTATCAGTTCCCTCTGATTTTAGATATATGGATAGGGTTAGGACTACATTTTCGGACGGGAATGCTGATCCAGGAACATGTCTTACTTGGGAAAATCACAGTGACCATTATTTAATGGCAAAAACACAAGATGCAAGGGCATATGCATGAGCGGATGCAGTTTAGAAACATCAAATGTGATAAAGTACTGTAGGTCAAATAAAAAATTGTACCAGTATATAAAAAAAAAAAAAACCCTGACAAACAGAGGAATGATCATCATTTTGCCCCCTAGTTACTGTACTAATGTGAAGGACGCCATTGTCTATTCACAAAGCAATGTTTAACAGCAGTCATTAAAGGGTTTGTCTATTCTGTTTTGTGTCACTGCTAGTTCTTCACTGTCTTTTTCCGAGTGCTGGTTTGTGGAAACAACAGTGAAACATTGAGGGCTGTTTCTGATAAGATAAGAGCATGAGATTTCTTCTTAGAGAAGCTTGCTTTCACGATCTGTGAAATTCAAATCGGAACAGCCTGTGACACACATTAGTGCAAAGTTTGTAGCAGAAGACTGAATCTACATTTTGCTGTAGTCACAGAATTTGAGCAAACAGCAATCAAGAGTTCGCCACATCATAAAAGAACACATCAGATTTCAGGATGATGAGAGAAATTCTGATTGATTATTGGTTCTTAACTGTGAGTTTCAATAGCAAATTGTTCAGAGTTACTTTGTTACAAAGTTACTTTGATTTAAGGCCTTTGCCATTTCATTCATTTTTACTAACTTGTAGTCCTTTTCTGCAAAAATGATTGTCAGTTGAAACCTGTGAATATAGCCAATAAAAGGTCATGTGTGGTCAACAAGACTGTCTGCCAGTATTTATTAATATCAGTGTTAAAATTCATTTGAACTGAACTGATTTCAAGTTTACATATACAGATGTCTCACACACATTTAACTCTAAACGAGGACATACTATCCCTGTTTGCTTTTTATTTTGTACAATATTCATATACAATCTATTAATGACACACACGCACACACACGATATAATTGAATTTATATATGTAATTCAATAATATATATTTTATATATAATTAATATTTTATTATTTATAAACTACATTGATTGGTTTCTTCTTTTCCCCCCTATTGGGAACCTCTCAAGAAGGGAGCTTTCGCTAGATTAAGCTAACTTCTTGGGTATCATTTGCCTTCAAGTTTTACAAGCAAATTAACATGGATAAAAATACTTAAAGCCATCAGAAACAAACTACTATTTAAAGCATCCAAACTGCATGAATATGGTAATAATTCAGCACCATAGTAGGCTACTACCTCCTACAAAATTGCACAACGGTACTTCCATGGTCCCTTTTGTAAGGTTCAGCTGAGACGAACACGTCTGCTGCTCTCTTGTGGTCATTTGATGTATTATATTATTTCTAGGAAAACTTGTTACAAAACAGTTTGAGAACAAGAAAAAAAAAAAACATCTGCAAATAAGATTTGAATGGGTAAAGATGGCTTTATGGACATATGAAAACTATACAGCTGTGGGTAACTGATTGATTAAAAGGGGTGGTTGAATGATTTCACTTTTCGAACTTTAGTCAGTGTGTAATGTTGCTGTTTGAGCATAAACAACATCCGCAAAGTTATGGCGCTCAAAGTTCAAAGCAAAGGGAGATATTTGGTTTTAAAGAAATTGCTTTTTAAGGACTAGCTACAACAAATGGGTGGTAGGGACTACACGACTTTCCTCCCGGGTTAGTGACATCATGAACCCCAACATTTTCATAAACCCCGCCCCCTGAACACGATTTATAGATTATCAAGACAGAATATGCTAATACATGACTAGAAGATAACTACACATAAGCTACATAAATGTTGTCTACATGTCACCTCTTCTTGAGTCTCTCCATCTTTCTGACTTCGATTTGAACATAATCTGTGTAAGGTAAAATGACCGAAAATGACAGCTCCACCCTCTGTGCCGGGAGCAGGAGCTCATTTGCATTTAAAGGGACAGACACAAAAACGGTCCGTTTTGGCTCACCCTCAAAAAGTGTCACAATAAACACGATAAACTTCACAATAAACACTCTGGGGACATCAAAGACTTATTTTACATCTTTTGAAAAGCGCATTATACCACCCCTTTAATAAGAGTGAAGATAGTGTTAATAAACGTCACCTGCGCGCCTCAACTGTCTGGAGTCCCACGGAGAAGCTCCGGAAGGATAAAAAGAGGAGTGACAACAAGGCCTGGGACATTATGTTGGGGTTTTATTGTGTTTATATGCGGCAGTCATACGTGAGGGTCTGCAGCTTTGTTGTTTGTTTGTTTTTGTGATTAAAGTTTTATATAGATAGATAGGTTCCCGTTTCCCTCTTCCCTAAACTTGTTGCAATGCTCACTGCAACTATAAAAAATAAATCAATACTTGTTTTGCGACAGTAGAACAGCAAACAGCATGTGTTAATAGTTTTTTGTTTTAGTTTGCTTTATTTCTAAAGTTTTTCTGCAGAGAATTCTAGGGGTGTGAATCTTTGAAGAGCATTTCCTTTGTGAGGTCGAATAGGAAATGTAAGAATAGGTCACCACAGTGGGGCATACGACTACTCGCACACCACAGCAGCTGCAGGACTTTATCAACCAGTCGATATCAGGGTGAGTTTTACTGCCAGTCTTCATTGTTTTAAATCATACATATGTTTTTTTTTAAACTAGTCTTTATAAGAGGAAAACACTGTAGCCTACATGAGTATTTTCACCAATCTCATGTTACTTTGTATTGTACCATCTCGAATTCAGCAGATGAATGGATAACAATGGGTTCCGATAATAGTTCTGATAATGGAGGTGAGTTGAGACTGCGTTCACTCTGAAACTTAAATGAGACTTTAATTTTGAAATGATAATTCTTCAGTGCTGTTATGAAACGGCATGGAATGAAATTAGTTTCAAGAGGAAAAGTAATAGTGGTTTTAAAAACTCAAAGCAGACATTAAAATAGGTCTAATTTTTACTATTATTTTGTAGATCATTCGCAATCTTTCAGTTTTTCGAAGGTAGCCGGCCTTTCAACAGTGGTCGTGTTGTCTGTGATCTGGTGTTTTGTTCTCTTTCATAGGTTCACTCAACGCTGCGGAAAGCGCAGTGGGATATCCTCTGGATGTGCCGATTGTCTGAAGCCCTATAGAATCACGCCAATCCATTGGCTGATGGCGCTCGCGCAAAGCTGGCTCCGCCCCGACGCTCTTACGTCGTAGCATGATGTACGCGCGCGCGCCATCTTCTCCTCAGATTTCTCTGCCTTCACGAAGCGGTCACATCTCGCCCTTCGTGCGGTTTTTCTGAGCCCGAATTCTTCAATTCAACTTCAGCTTTCGTCTCGACACTTCAGCGACTGGTATAAGTGGAACTCTGTTCTCCTTACAGTGAAGTGTCATGGATTATCGACGCTGCTCTCCGCCATGCGTTCGTTTCATCTCGAACGACGACCCTCACAGTAAGTGTGTTAAATGTATGGGTTTTTCGCATGCGCGTGAGGCTGTATTAGGATTGTCGAAATGTAAATTTTGTGACAATCTCCTTCTCAAAACCCTCCGCTCTAGACTCGCGGTTTTTGAGAAGGAGACATTCGTTTCCCCCCGTCGCGCTCCCGAGACTGCTGAGGCCTCTCGTGGATCCGCGGCCTGGGGTTCGGATGTTGAGCTCGAGGATATTGAGTATGAGCAGACGGGCCTCGCCCTTTCTCTCCCTCCCTCTCCCGAGCACGCACGCGGCGCGGTTGAATTCGCGCATGATTATTTATGTCCCAGCCCGGGAGCCCGCGAATCGGTTTCTTTCGGTCTGGATGACGTTATTTACACTGCAGCCTCCGACTCCGAGGATTTCGGGCCTGCTCTGGCTGATGACGTTATCCCGCCTAGCGGCCAGGACGCGCGGCCTACTCCGGCCTACACTGAGCTTATTGAGGTGCTGTCGCGCGCTACAGAGAAGCTCTCTATTGACTGGCCTGATGAGCCCCGCGAGTCTCAATCGTCCAAACTCGACGAGAGGTTCCTACGTGGCCCTAATTCTAGGCCAGAACGAAGAAAGCTGCCCTTTTTCAGCGATCTGCATCACGAGATCTCCAGATCCTGGAAGCAGCCATTCTCCGCACGCCTAACTAATGCGGCAGCCGCTGACTTCACCAACCTTGTTGGTTTTGTGGAGCAGGGTTATTCCGCTATTCCAGCGGTCGAGGACACGCTGGCTAACCACCTCGCCCCGTCGTCTGCACCGTCTTGGAAGGCGCGTCCCCTTCTTCCTTCCAAGGCTTGTAGGACTACTTCCTCCCTTATTGGGAAGTCTTACATGGCGGCTGGTCAGGCAGGCATGGCCCTGCATACCATGGCCATCCTTCAAGCCTACCAAGCGGACGTCTTGAAGGACATGGATGAAGGAGAGGGACTGACGCCCGAAGCTGTCAAAGAGCTTCGCAAAGCCACAGATCTGGCCCTAAGAGCCACCAAGCACACTGCTCGGGCTGTAGGTCGCTCTATGGCGGGCTCGGTTGCTGCAGAGCGCCACCTCTGGTTGAATCTCACGGAGATCCGAGACAAGGATAAGAGTTTCCTCCTGGATGCCCCTATCTCCCACTCAGGTCTTTTCGGGGAGGCGGTCAACACGGTGGTTGACAAGTTCCGCGCCGCTAAGTCTCAGTCGGCCGCGTTCAGGCAGTTTATGCCCAGGAGGGTCAGAGGGCCCAGTGACTCCAACCCTCCCCCTTCTCAAACCCGAGAACGCTCTGCTCATAGGGCTGAGTTCCCTACTAGCAGGAGTGACCCGGCTCGCCACCCACCAACTACTGTCTGGGGAGCCCGAGGTCGTCCATTTCCTCGCCAGCGCCCTCACAAGCGCCTTCAGCTGAAGCGGTCCAACAAATCGGCCGCTCCAGCCTCCTCGAGCCGTTCCTGACCCGCAGGGCAGGAAGAGGAGAGCCTCATCAGATCTACGAGGTTGGGACAGACCGCGCAAGCGTTTCTGCCCTCCTCCAGCCGGCTCTCCTCATCCAACCCTGTCACCTTCGCCACCCAGCGTGTTTCGAAGTGCAGGTCCTGTTTCACTCTCTTCACCCAGTCCGGCGCAGGAGGAAGGAGACGCATCTTGCTTTCTCCCCTCGCTCCCGGTGCACGTTACACCCGCCAATCGCTTCCTCAGAGGCACAGTTCTTTTTCCTCTGGAGCAGGCGGACCCAGTTACTTCTATCCAGGTGGTGGTACCCCCCAATACGTGTCAGGACGCCAAGCGCTCTCCTCCACGGTCAACCGCGCCTCCCCATGGAAACCAGCGCGACACCCTACCTCAGGTATGTCCCTTGCACTGCAACACTCCTCTGCCTCTATCACATTTCGTTCAAGAATGGGAGCGTTTACCAGGGGTATCGCCTTGGATCCTTCGCACAGTTCGGCTCGGCTACACGCTTCAGTTTTGTCGCAACCCCCCCTGCTTCAACGGGGTCTTTCCTACTGTAGTCGACAGCGCCGCTCAGGCTTCTGTACTACAGCAGGAGATTTCATCCCTTCTGCTGAAGGGGGCGATAGAAGAGATTCCTTCGGGGGAAGTCGAACAGGGCTTCTACAGCCGTTACTTCCTGGTCCCGAAGAAGGGGGGCGGCCTGCGGCCGATACTAGATCTTCGCCGGTTGAATTTCTCTCTTTACAAAGGAAAATTCAAAATGTTGACGCTGAAGGCCATCATATCTCATATCCGGCGGGGGGACTGGTTCGTGACGGTAGACCTCAAGGATGCTTATTTCCACATCCAGGTCGTACGGCGACACAGGAAGTTCCTCAGGTTCGCCTTTGGAGGGAAAGCGTACCAGTACAGGGTCCTCCCCTTTGGCCTCGCTCTAGCGCCAAGGACGTTCACAAAGTGTATGGATGCTGCTCTGGCCCCGCTGCGGCTCCAGGGCATCCATATACTCAACTACCTGGACGATTGGCTCCTTTTAGCCCACTCCAGAGAGTTGGTGACTCACCACAGGGACATTGTCCTCCGTCATATTCAGTCTCTCGGTTTGAGGCTGAATACGGAGAAGAGCGTTCTTACTCCAGCTCAGAACACGGTTTTCTTGGGGGTATGCATGGACTCCGTTCTTATGCAGGCCCGTTTGGCTCCTGCACGGATTTCCAGTCTGGTGACATGTCTGTCCCGTTTCGCACTAGGCCAGCATGTTTCCGTGAGCACCTGCCGCAGACTTCTGGGCCTTATGGCCGCGGCCTCCCCTGTGCTACCTCTGGGGCTGCTCCACATGAGACCTTTTCTGTGGTGGATGAAGCTCTCAGGGGCTCGGCCCACGGGGCCAGCCTTTCGCCTATTGAAGGTGTCGCGCAGTTGCTTTCGCGCCCTGTCAATCTGGCGGGACCCCCTCTTCCTTCAGAAAGGAGTCGGTATGGGTGCGGTATTCCGTCGCCAGATGGTTACGACGGATGCCTCTCTGACCGGCTGGGGAGCGGTTTTCGAGGGCAGGCCAGCGTGTGGGGTTTGGACTGGCGAGACCCTCTCGTGGCACATAAACAGCTTGGAGCTGAGGGCTGTCTTCCTGGCTCTTTGCCACTTTCTCCCTTTCCTCGAAGGACACCATGTCATTGTCAGAACGGACAATATGGCAGTAGTGTCCCATGTAAACAGACAGGGGGGTTCACGATCGCGTACCCTAGACAGGCATGCGCGTCACCTTCTCCTGTGGTCCCAGGACAAGTTCCTCTCTCTGAGAGCAGTTCATGTCCCAGGGATTCTGAACCTCGCAGCAGATTTTCTGTCGAGGCAGAAGCTCAGGTCTGGGGAATGGATGTTGAACCGCCAGTCGGTGGCCCTGATCTGGGAGGTGTTCGGAAAAGCGGAAGTGGACCTCTTTGCATCTCAGGAGTCGTCCCAATGCCCGCTTTGGTTCTCTCTGAGCCCTCCAGCTCCATTGGGGATAGATGCGTTCGCCCACCCTTGGCCGATGCAGAAACTCTATGCCTTCCCGCCCATCAAGCTGATCCAGGCGGTTCTGTCCAGAGTGAGGGAGAGCGGAGTCCGCCTCCTTCTGGTAGCCCCATTCTGGCCGTCCCAGCCATGGTTTTCGGAGCTGATCCCTCTGTTGGAATCCTCCCCCTGGGAGATACCGGTCAGGGAGGACCTGCTTTCCCAGCTTCAGGGCAGGATATGGCATCCTCGCCCCGACATTTGGAAGCTGTACGTTTGGCCTATCAGAGGCCGTTAGCTTTAAGCTTTGATCTCCCAACCGACGTTCAGGAGACTATTGCGAATGCTAGAGCCCCTTCGACGAGGAGGCTATATTCCTCCAAGTGGAGGGTGTTCGAGGCGTGGTGCTTAGCACATGATAGGAACCCAGTTAGCTGCCCAGTAGGCTCAGTGCTGGAATTCCTGCAGGAAAAGTTTGCTTCCGGAGCGGCCGCTACCACTCTCAGAGTGTATGTCGCAGCTATTGCTGCTCATAGAGAATCGGATGAGATTCCCTTGGGGAAACTGAGGTTAGTTTCGGCCTTCATGCGTGGGGTTAGGCGCCTGAAACCGGCTCGCCCCCCTAGTGTTCCCTCGTGGGACCTGTCAGTCGTCCTGGAGGGTTTGACAGAGGCTCCCTTCGAGCCCTTGGAGTCAGCTCCTGAGCGGATTCTGACTCTTAAGGTTGCTCTTTTGTTAGCTTTATCTTCACTGAAGCGGATAGGGGATTTGCAGGCTCTCTCTATTAGTGAGTCATGCTTGGACTTCGCTCCTGGCCTGGTTAGGGTTACCTTGAGGCCGAGGTCGGGGTATGTACCCAAGGTTCTTTCCACGGCGTTCCGCTCTCAGGTTGTTAACCTTAATGCTTTCCACCCTCCTCCTTTTGCCTCTGAGGAAGAAAGGAAACTTAACTTGCTCTGCCCGGTCCGTTCTTTGAAGTTGTATGTAGATCGCTCAAGCGGTTGGAGGAAATCAAACCAGCTCTTGGCATGTTTTGGTGCTGGCCGCCGCGGGCTTGCAGCATCAAAGCAGAGGATTTCCCACTGGGTAACGGACGCTATTTCGCTGGCTTATGAGGTGCGTGGTTTGCCTTCACCTCTTAGCATCAGAGCGCATTCCACCAGAAGTGTGGCTTCCTCTCAAGCTCTCTTTAGAGGGGCCCTCTTGGAAGACATTTGTGTGGCGGCAGGTTGGTCCTCTCCGCACACCTTTGTGAGGTTCTATAATTTGGATCTTGACATGACTCCAGGTTCCCAGGTTCTATCTGCTTGAACCTATCATGGTTGTTCTTATTTGGTCTGGTACCGGTTATGGCAGCGCTTAGCTTGGCGAGTTTGGTATTTCGTTCCCACTGCGCTTTCCGCAGCGTTGAGTGAACCTATGAAAGAGAACGTCTCTGGTTACTTACGTAACCTATGTTCTCTGAATAGGGAACGAGACGCTGCGTTCGCTGCCAAGCTCCTCGCGCTGCCGACAGTTTTTCTTTTCGGCAGAGAAATCTGAGGAGAAGATGGCGCGCGCGCGTACATCATGCTACGACGTAAGAGCGTCGGGGCGGAGCCAGCTTTGCGCGAGCGCCATCAGCCAATGGATTGGCGTGATTCTATAGGGCTTCAGACAATCGGCACATCCAGAGGATATCCCACTGCGCTTTCCGCAGCGTCTCGTTCCCTATTCAGAGAACATAGGTTACGTAAGTAACCAGAGACGTTTTCCTTCTGGTATTCATTATCTGCTTGTGTTTATGGAAAACTCAACAAAATGAGGTAAAATATTTTTATATTCACTTATAACTGTGGCAAATGCAAAGGACAGCAATGCATTGATATATAGACAAACAGGGAGATTGAATATTAATTGGTTGTTGTCTCTCTGATTCTAAAAGGTCACAAACGGTGATGTCTCTTTAAACGAGGTATGAATCAGGCATTCACACCCCCTCTGTGTCAAACCTCAACTTTAACTGTTTAGTATCTGTCTATGCCAATGGTTATTCAATTGTGCTTTGTCTTTATTTTCAGTTCTCTGAAAAGAAGAGAATACGAGAAAATCATAAAAGTTACAAAGAGAGGGTCAACTCAGTTTACTATGAGTGGATGACTGATCACTCACCACAGAGGAAACCCATCAATGAAATGATAGAAATGTCTTAATGCATTATAGTGAGTTATAATTGCAAACACTGCCAAAACACTTAACATGCAAGGCCGACTAGTATTATTATAAAGGCTGCTGAAATGAAACTCAGTATTGTTTTGTTTTCATTTGTCATGACAATCCAGCAGAAGGCGCTGTTGCACAAAATCAGTCATGGATGCAGTTATAAAAAAAATAAAATAATATAGGTTCACCTGAAAAATGATAATGATAATTCTGTCATTTATTCCCTCATGTTGTTCTAAAACATAGCCTATATATAGCCTAAGAGTGTTTAAACATCGTTTATTCCCAACTTTAAATTCTGAATTCGAACCCCAATGCATTATGCTATATAATTATATTGTTTATGACTTTTAGTGAAGTTACCCACATGTATATGCAAATTAAATTTTTATTCTATTCACCTGTTTACTTAACAACTTGAATGGTATGCCAATTGTAATCCATAAAAACCATGCCAATAAAGTAGTATTCTCTCTCTCTCTCTCTCTGTGTGTGTGTGTGTGTGTGTGTGTGGTCCTGGTATTTTCTGATGGAGTTTGGGTTCCTTGCCACTGTCGCCCCTGGCTTGCTTATAGGGACACTTAATATTCAGCAATATTACTGATTTGACTGCACTGCACTATTGGATGAAAACTGAACTGAGATGGACAATGACATTACTGTTTTCTGCAGAGCTGCTTTATTGCTGAATTGAACTCATTCCACAGGTGACGTACTTTAGTTACTGAACCAAAATGAATCAACACTGAACTGATTTCAACTGAATAATGACTGCTTACTATTGTTTTTTTAGAGCTAATTTACAGCAGAATTTAATTCTGTTTTAGACCATTGAATCGTTAATGTCCTGTTTATGTCCATGAAGTTGCTTTGAAACAATCTATATTGTATAAAGCACTATATAAATAAAGATGACTTTACTTGACTACGGAAAGCCCACATAAAATATGAAAACAATGTGTGTGTGTACAGGTTTGGCTATAACGTTACTTGTGAGGGCCAAATGTCATCTGCCATAGTATATATTATGAAAACTGATTAGTGAGGACATGCTAAAACATGTTTTTATTTTAATTGTCCCCCGTAGTCAATAATTTTATCCCTTAAAACTCTTCTTTGATCTTTGACCAATGACATTTAAACGTTTTTTTCCTTGAAAAAAATGCTTCATGCCTTAAGATAGCTTGAATGTAACTCTACACCCTTGCCTCATTAGTATATGCGGTTCTATGAATATGCAAATTAGCCCCGCCCCTACACACTCACACCAGCTCAGAGATCCACTCGTTGATGATCACACGGTTGATGTAATTGGTTACAAGGTAGTTTGTGACGTCAGAAACACCAGCGATTTCAAACCATGTTTTTGAGACTGTCTTTGGTTCACTGCAGTTTTAAGGAGAAAATACTCAGCAATGGTGTTGACTCATGAATTTGTACATGGTTTGTCTTAAAGCATATTAAAAACACCACATAGACATATAAACAACAATAAAAGCTGGATTTTCTCCGCAGGGGTCTTTAAATCCAGTGTTTTGCATTTAAAAATGTATAAAGTAAAATAACTATAGCTTCCGGCCAAACGAACATACGGATTTCACTTAAGTCTAAAGCGCAACTTACGTGAGTAATGCGACGTACTGCTGATATTTGCTATGCCACCATGTCGCAATACGCTACTTCTGACGTCACAAGTTGCGTAAGTTGTGCTTTTGGCGCAAGTAGACTGCGTAAGGCTGTTTGGCCGGAAGCTAGAATTTTACTTTGTAACGTGATAAATATGAATATTTTTCTTACACAAACGCATCGCTTCGCTTCAGAAGGCCTTTATTAACCCACAGAGCCGTGTGGAGCACTTTTATGATGGATAGATGCACTTTTATGATGGATAGATGCACTTTTATGATGGATGATGCACTTTTATGATGGATAGATGCACTTTTATAATGGATAGATGCACTTTTATGATGGATAGATTCACTTTCATGATGGATAGATGCACTTTTATGATGGATAGATGCACTTTTATAATGGATAGATGCACTTTTATAATGGATAGATGCACTTTTATAATGGATAGATGCACTTTTATGATAGATAGATGCACTTTTATGATGGATAGATGCACTTTTATAATGGATAGATGCACTATGATGGATAGATGCACTTTTATAATGGATAGATGCACTTTTATAATGGATAGATGCACTTTTATAATGGATAGATGCACTTTTATGGACTTCAAAACAGAAACGTCCATTCACTGTCATGTTACAAAGCTTGGAAGAGCCAGGACGTTTTTTTAATGTAACTCTGATTGTATTCGTCTGAAAGAAGAATGTCATATAGACCTAGGATGACTTAAGGATGAGTAAATAATGGGCTTATTTTTCATTTTTGGGTGAACTATCCCTTTAACCAGGATAAAATCAATGGAAGGTCTATGCAATGTCCTCACTACTGGTACTAATATAGCAAAAACGTGTGTGTGGCCCCTACATTGCACAAAGATGGCAATATCTGAAGTTCTTGTGGGGAAATTTTTTTGGTCCCCATGAGGAAAAAAGCTTATAAATCATAAGTGATGTTTTTGAAAATGTAAAAATGCAGAAAGTTTTGTGTGATGGGTATGTTTAGTGTAGTAGGGGGATAGAATATACAGTTTGTACAGTATAAAAACCATTATGTCTATGGAAAGTCCCCATAAAACATGGAAACGTGTGTGTGTGTGTGTGTGTGTTTGGGGGAGGGGGTGGGGGTCTGGGGGAGGGTGAATCACTGGATCTCTCCAGAAGTCTGTAATGTTGTCCTTCAGTTCTTACTCTGCCTGTGCAGCAGCTCCTCTCATCTCTCCTTTCTCCTCTCATCTCCTGATAATGGTAAGTCATCAAGATTTGTGAATCCGACCTTGCATGTGCAACGATACATCTGATATATTTGGTCTTATATTGTTGTGTCTTTCTGCAGATTATTCGGACACTTTCTCCATTCATTGTCCTCTTCGTTGTCTGCTGTTACGCAGAGGTAAGACAGAAAGCTTTCTGATTCTTTGGACAACATTCTAATAGAAGAAAAAGTGACTAGGAGTTGAACGGAACACTTTTGTATTTTCTATCTTGGATATTGCTGATATGAATAACTGCAAATAACTACAGCCATAAATCCATCCAGGTATCAGAGGATTTAATTCATTTGGCATGTATGATATTAAAGCCTAATCATTTGAGACAGTCACTAAAATATTATTTTTAAGCTTTTTGTTAATAAACGGGTTAGTACTATCTCTTGAGAGTTTATTTGTTGTATGTAATTTAAATGTGGTAAGAAAGGTTTATAAATTTAGTGTAAATTTAAAGGATTTTTCCGTATTGATTTCTCACTGGCAGAACAAAAGGTTTATTAAAGGGTTCTGTCAGGCACTTCATATAGAACCTTTTAGGGGTTCCTATCATGGTTTCATTTGATGGATTTAGTTAATTAATTAAAAAAATCTGAATAATATAAATATTTTTTATTTATTCTGTTTAATTCATTTTTTACCATGAATTAAACAGCTTGTAAACATAATTTATCACTAGAAAAATTGAAATAAACCATTAAACATGAAAGCATTATGCATTAATGTAAGACATTAGAACCGTTTCGGCAATAAAGTGTTCTCTTAAATTGAGCCAAGAACCCTAGAGTTCTATACAGGACCCCATCTAACCTTTTTGTTCCCTAAGAGAATTGCATTGAGTTGTGTTTAAGGGCTAAAGGAAATGACTGTAAACATAACGGATAATATACTGGCCGAAAATGACCAATACTCTATGCGTTTTTCTACGAATTGTTTTCACACTGTGATAGTTTAAACTTACGGTAACTTCAGAAGCACCTTTTTTCGGACTGTTAACGTATTAGTGAGGGCGTCAGACGGGAGCAAAATTTTCTGGGCATGAACAGCTGCTGTTTGTCTTGGCAGGTAAAAGCAAAGTAATTGGTACGTGGAGTAATGGAAAGCAAAACAACAGCAGACGTTACCACCTGGGTGGGATAAGGGCATTTTAACACCATTACTTCACACAGATGCAAAGGCACAGCCATTCTGTCTGTCACAAACACAAAGTGTGTTCGTAACTATCAGAATTGAAGCTCTGGCATGTGATCAGTCCTCTGGTCTTGTGCAGTGTTGACATAGTTAGACATGGCAGATGTGCTGGTCTTTTCATGTTGGCGCCTGGAGGCCTGTTACATCTGCACATCATCATGACGAACGACCACATGCCTTTTCATTAGACACCAAACAACAGGTCTCACACACCGAAGCTCTAGCGTTCAGTAAGAGCAGTTGTGTAGAGGGTATAGTTTCAGGGATGACTTCACAGCTAACATCTGCATGATGATGAGATGGTTGAGGAACAGATTGACCTTTTGGAAAGTTTGGTGTCTAAGATTTTTTTATATATTTTTTTTTTATAAATGTTTTCTTTCTTTTTTGAATAGTAGTGTATGTTTATGCACTGTTCCATCTTTATAACGTGTCCATTGGTGCTTAAAAACTCAATTAGATGTATTGTTTCCACTATGCAGGTTTAACAAAAGTTGGAAAGGAGCATGTTTATGTCATCATACTAAAGGTATGGTGTATTTGAGTAAATTGGGCCAATTTTGACAGTCATATCAATGCCAAAAAGTGGCCTAAATTACTTAAACTCACCATCTATGCACAGACGTTTAGTAGTCTATACTGCATAAACACAGTTACGCTGGCATTCTGATCATGCAATCATATGAACACGGACAAACATCCAGACAGACAGAAGTATGTGATCTAGGCCCCCACAGGCAGAGGGGGCTTAAATGCTTTGCTCAAAAATACAGTAGCACCTCATTGCAGTACACGAGATCCAGGGGGCGGAGTTGGATCCAGATATAAGAGGTGGAGATGGGTAGGATTAGGGGTGGGGTTAGGGATCAGGGGGTGGAGATGGGTAGGTTGTGTGTCGTTGATAGAGTGTTGCTAAGGTCTTCTGAGTGGGTTTCGCGAGTTATGTGGATGCTTATTTGTGCAAGTTACAAAACATTCTGGTCCCTAGAAGCCCATGAACCTTTGACTGTAGACGTGTGTTTAGCACTCGGCAGAACTAGAACGTAAGACTCCTTTACTAATATTGTGTGAGGATAGAAATAGGGATTTATCGATATACCAAAGGCCTGAGATTGAACCTGAACGATTTAGTGGTATAACTCAGGGTTTCAAAAATGTGTTTCGGGTTTGGGAAAGGTCTAAATTACTTATGGACAGTGTTTATTAGAAATGCTGCAGATTGTGCTGCAACACACAGGAACAAACACTTTTAGATTGTTTTTCAGCACTTACTGAAAGGTGTTGCAATGAAACATTATTGTAAAACCGAGACAAAGCAAGCAATTGTGAATATTTGGCATAAGGCCTGAAAAACTTCTACCATTGACAAAGTGACCACATTTTTCTTACATCTTGTCTTTGATGCATACTTGTATTGTTTCATGCCTGGGGTTTCAAATTAGTTGAAGTGTTAAAATGTGGATAAGTACATGTTGTTGTTTTTTAGAGTAGTTTCTCCTTTGTGGTTTCCTTATGGGTGTTAATGACAGTTAAGATCATCCACACGAGCGAAGTGTTGGTGTTCAGTATATGAAGCCCGTTTTACACATGATCATATGCGGTGCAGAAGGTTCGATAAAGGATTTTGGCTCTCTAAACCCCTCCTTTCTGAGACCATACTCTGCTCTGATTGGTCAGATGGCCCAGTCTGTTGTGATTGGTCTAACGCTTACAGCGCATATCGGAAATGAAACGCCCAATACAATATCTGATTTTCAGCTCCAGAGGCTTCCTCAGCATTTGATACACAATGATACGAACATTAACAGTGGCATTGGTTTTACCGTATCAATTCGAGTCTGAGCCCTCATTCTTTAGAAGATGAAGACCTTTGGCTGGCATTATGCAAATTTGTCACAAACCTACGTAGGTTCGTGCAGGAAGTAAGGCTGGAATTACTGACGACTTGTTGCAAGCTGTTCAGAATCAGTTCTTTTGGGAGACAATAACTCCATTTGTCATGCACTGTGATCTTTGAAACTTTGCAGAGCTTTTACATTCACAAACAGCGGTATTACTCAGTGCTTGAAAGGTAATTTTCGAAAAAGCATAATAGGGGCACTTTAAATCTTTATACAAGAAATCCTGTGGATCATACTGAACTTTGTTTTTCCACCTCCACGATGAGATCAGTGCCATCCACTGTGTTGACTTTTCAAAATGTGAGGTAAAGTGTAGTTTTCCTTGCTTTACCCATTGCAGGAAGTCATATGTTGACTGTGAAATAGTAGTCTTTAATTATATGCATTTATGGAGAAACTACTAAAAAAAAATGGTCATGTTCAATGTTCATTTTGACCATGAACAAACAATGACCTATCACTTTAATTCTGTGCCGGCAGCATAGCAAAAATTGACAGAAAACAAAGGTTGCGCTGCTGATTCTGCACTGCTTCTGCAACCACATTCATTTCCAGTGTGAATTCTCTAACCTGTTAACATGGGCACGTACTGCCTACGGATCGCGAAACGGGCGCCAGACTGCATCCGAACAAAAGCCAGAATGAGAACAGGCAATGCTGTCAGTCTTTCATACCAGGGGTTTAGGACCGCTACAGTGAGTGTATAGCGACTTCTGTTCACTAATGCTCTGGTGTCATCTAACAGAGTCTGTCTGCTCTGATCTCCATCAGACGATCTCAGCTGACACACTCTGGAATGTGAGGAATGTTCTGTCTGCCCTCTGGTTTTAGGTCAAAGCCCGGTGTTTGTGTGTCTTCTATGCTTTTTACAGCCTGTTGGTGGTGATATTTGTGTGAAAGTAGTTTCCGCTCAGCTCAGCTTATTGCTGTTAATTTTCTGTTGAATCTGTGGGGAGTCTCAATCTAGGCACCATCTGTAAGGGTGTGAATTCCTCTGTCTCTCGGCTCTCTCTCTCTCTTTAACTTCTTGTTAATATTAATATGTTTAACTCTCATTTCATCATTCATAAGTGTGGGGAAAGGGAACACTGACTGTATTGACATACTAAATCAGTTTGATGGTACCTTAAACAACTGAAATACACTACAGTTTAAAAGTATGGGGTCTGTTAGATTTTTTTGAAAGTAGTCTCTTATGCTCGCCAAGGCTGCATTTATTTGATTCAAATACAGTTAAAACATTATTACACTTTTTAATAACTGTCTCTGAAGGTACACTATGTAACTTTTGGCGCTTTAGATGTTAATAAACAACTGCATGCGTCTTGAGAACGAACATTGTAGCCGGAGCTACTTCTCTCTGTTTATGTATATGATGAGTCACGCAGGTACTGGGCAAGTCTGAATATAAACACTTATTTTATAGGCGTAACATAGTGATTCAGGATAAGACAAAAACACTGTTTGGAAGATGGATTCATGATATACTCGCTTATTATATATTTTTGTAATTTTTAAACCAAAAAAGTTACATAGAGTACCTTCAATATATAAAAATATTTCTTGTGATGCAAAGCTGCACCATTACTCCAGTCTTCAGTGTCACATGATCCTTCAGAAATCATTCTAATATGATAATTTGCTGCTCAAGAAACATTTCTTATTAATATCATCCTGAAATCAGTTGCGCTGCTTACTATTTGTGGAATTCGTGCCATTGGTTGTGCCAATGTTGCTGTGTTGGATTGATTATAGTACTCAAATTAATATAGAAGAGGAATAAACAAGCTGCTTTCCATATTTTAGAAGAGCCATGCAGCAATGCTGCAATGTTGAAATATCTTGAATCAGACACAGTCTAAAAACTTGAAAAGTATCTCGTGAGGAAGCAAGGGAATTTGTTTAATTCGTCGTGTTAACAGATCAAATAAATGGACCAGGCCTGTTAGAGTTGCCCTTTGTGCACATTTACCATTTACACAGAAACACACACACACACCACTGGAAAATTGTGACGCTTTCTCCAAATGAGATCTTATTATTGGCACTCAATGCACATTTTATGTGAAATATTCATTGCATGTGCACTCTTTCTGTGAGATAGAAAGAAAGAGAAGCATCGCATTAGGCTGTTCCACCCTACACGAGACTCTCTTCCTTGAAATACCACTCCATTGTCTTCCACAATCTTCCCAGTCAGATGTTAAAGGTCAGAGTTAAGGGGTCACAGAGCATGTAGAAATGGACAGATGTCCTAAGGCCATGTCAACATGTATCCAACTATTACGCCATCTTCCTGTACATTCCAATGCAGTCTGCACCGAGCCAGAAAGTATAAACTTGCTATTTATAATAGAATAGAAAAAGAATATCTCTCGAAATTAATTTTATTTTATTTTATTGTCAAGAATATTAACAGTGTGTTCCATTTTTGGTCTTTTTAGTTCCACTTTAAACTAAACTAAAACATATATAATACAACAAAATAAACTTTGACAGAGGTGAAAGACTGCAAATTGGTAGAGGTTAAAAAAGTCTGCTGCTTAAAAATTAAACAATTTTTTGTTAATATTTTTTTATACTTTTTATCTCACAATTTTCACTTTTTCTCTCAGAATTTGATAAAATAATTCAGAATCGCGCAATATAAACAAGCAATTCTTACTTTTTTTCTCGCAATTTCGAGTTTATATCTCAATTCTGAGGGGAAAAAATCAAAATTGTCAGATATAATAATTAAGAATTTACATCACAATTCTGATTTTATTTATCGCAATTCCTAATTGTTAAAAAGACAAAATGGCGCCAGATAAATTTGCAATTGCGAGAAAAAAGTCAGAACTGTGAGGTAAAAAGTGCAATTACCTTTATTTTTTATTTTTATATAAGATACACATATGTTGCAGATGGTTTGTACATGTGGGAGTGTGTGTGCCATCTGTCTTCCAGACATGAGGTGCTTCTTTTAGATGTGTGTGTTTCAGTGAGTAACAGCATGCGCTGGTGTATTGTCGTGGTCAGACTCTTTGTTACTCACCCTCTTTATTAGATGGCAAAGGTCAACAGGTCTGGCTCCCATCTGGAGCTGTGTCACTATGGCTTTCACTTCAGTCTGCACCAATCAGACAACACAATAAACGGGCAGCACATGTCTGTGGGGAGCGAGTAAGCGAGATCTGTTTATTTAGGTGAAAACATGAGTAAAAGTCCATTTTTTTACTACTGTGGGTGGGTGTGTGTGTAAGGTCATTTGTTATTTGGATGTTAAGAAAACAGCAATTTGATTGTCATTTAATAGATAATTCTGACCCAGATTTTGTTAGAAATGAACTAGTCCGAACTAGTATGAATATTAAGTGTAGTCCGCCATCTTGTGGTTAAATTTAAAGTCGGCATGTGCGATTTTAGACTTGGGAAAAAATGGGATTAAGCTATAGGGTTTGGGGTTTAGTATTCGGACTAATTTAAAGAAATAGTTTAATGAAAATGCTGCATCATTTAGGCTACTCACTCACAAGTTGTTCCAAACCTGTATTAATTTTAAAGAATGTCGGTAACCAAACAGTTGATGACAACAGACATTGACTTCCGAATTAAAAAAAAAATACTGTGGAAGTCGATCCATACAGGTTTGGAACAACTTGAGGCTGCGTAATGACCGAAATATCAGTTTTGGGCGAACTATCCCTTTTCAGTATTACTAGGAGTAAACAATAGGTCCTTCAGCATAAGGGTAGCCTATATTATTATTACTTAATTTTCTGAAGCGTTTTCCTTCCTTCACCACTAGTTAGAACCAAAGTCCTGTGTGTTTGGTGTAATTGACCATTTTTATTATTATTCTTTTGTGTTGTTGTTGTGTTGTGTGCAGGAGGTGAGGAGTAAAAGTAAAGTTTGTGCGAATGTGTTCTGTGGAGCTGGAAGAGAATGCGCTGTCACAGAGAAAGGAGAACCAACCTGTCTGTGCGTCGAGGTGAGTCAGATGTGCCAGAGTGCCGAAGTGATGACGTCACTTTGTAGGACTAGATATTAGGCTACATGTAATTTGATAGTAAAACAAATTGGTAAAGTGTAATTTTATTGGTGCAAAGATAAGGCTATATCTTGTATAACATTGCAAATGCTTTTTATCACTGAATTAGAAGCACCACAATTTTAAATTGTGTCTTCTGTTACATAGGGACTACTGACCAGACATTTAAAAGTTTATTTTAAGATGCAAAGTATTGCAAATCAAAAGAAAGCTCTGCAAACACTTGCTTTTTTGCTAGACTATTGTGTCCTATCGGGTAATCAAATGTTCTACACACACTTGCAATCTTCACGCCTACTTGAACACTTGGGCCAAATACAGGAAATACATCATGTAAGTAAGTAGACAAGTGGTCAGGTGCAAAGACCGCAAGTGTGGGTTTTTGAAAAGGCTGAAAACACCCACTCAAACACATGCTACCTTTCCCACGGTTGCCAGATCTGCCCTGATTCTGAAGTTTTGGATAGGCTCTATGTTTTTTAACAGGAATGTTGTTCAAAATGTTGATCCAGGAACATGTTTTATTTGGCAAAACCATGGTGACCACTTAAAAAACAGTCAACTGGACGAAAACTAGCCCAAAAACCATAACTCAAAATATGCCACTCCCATACAAAGAAAACAATATTCAAAGAATTATATTTTACAGTCACTATGCATTACACGCTGTTTCAACTTGAGAATCACTGTGTAGTAGTAATCATAAACACAGTATGTTTTCATAAAGGAGCTCATAGGAGTTCAAAAGTAAAAATCTTTCTCTTATTTGTTTTATTTTTTTCTCCAGTTTTATCACACACACACACACACACACACACACACACACACACACACACACACACACACACACACACACACACACACACACACACACACACACACACACACACACACACACACACACACACACACACACACACACACACACACACACACACACACACACACACACATATATATATATATATATATATATATATATATACATATACATATAAAATGCAAAGTTATGCAAAATGTCAAACATTTAACTTGAAGGGAGAAAAAAATCGACCCGTGGCAAAGTAGCCCAATTCTACCCTAAACCACTGACTTGGCAACCCTATTTTCCACCACCACTTACTGTTCTCCGAAATATATTATAAAAAGACTGGGTGTTTTACGTCACTAGAGTAGGTTTTGCTTTGGAAATGGTGGAGACCCAACAAGTATCATTTAAAAAAGACCATGAGCCGCAACAACCTACTTAATAACATTAATAACATGAAAATGACAGGCCGAAAAAAATTCGGTTGGACACACAGCGTTTTACATCAACAACAAAACATGGAAAGGGTTTTACATCAATTTTAAAAGTTGATAAGCCTATTTTGCTATTGAAATATGCAAAGGTAAATGGTTAGTTGGCATATTATTCTTTGCATTTAGCACTGTTTTTTAGCTGCTGTCCTATCATAACAGACCTGTGACCCATTTTTGAGTCAAGATTGACTAATTGAGAACCGCTGATATAAACTACGTAGATATCATAAATGTACACTTATTTTAATGTCTGTGTTTTGATCAGCAATGTAAACCCCATAAGCGTCCAGTCTGCGGAAGTAATGGGAAGACATACCGTAATCACTGTGAGCTGCATCGTGATGCCTGTCTCACTGGACTCAAAGTACAGGTGGCCCATCATGGACATTGTGAAGGCAAGTGTGTGTGTAGGTTTAGTTTATAGTGTTATATAGTGTTATATTAGTTTATAGTGTTATAGTTTATAGTGATACATTAATGGAATGTTGCAATAAAGATTACAGACCTTTCTGTTTCAATTGACTAGTGTGTTCACCGCAAAACCATAGATGTGCATGAGAAAGCTGTTCCAACGAAATCTCATTGTTACCTAGTTTTGGGTGCTATTTAAATAATAGCAGCCATTTCCTCTCAGGAATGTCACTACATTTCCCTACATTAGAATACATAAATATGCAAGAGATTAAGAACTTTGCACAAAGAGCAGCTCCTGTTTTCAGCTGAAAGTCACTAACCTTGTTTCTGTCTTCTCATTTAGAGAAAAAAATGGAACAGATCACCAACAGCCCAAGTGAGTAAACAAGCATATTAGATTGAGAACTGGTTATCATTAAACATTTTTTTTTTAAATATGGTGGAATTATGTCTTTTTATTGTTAGAGACCAACATCCAATAGGCTGCTCAGGTTTAAATACTTAGCAGTTTTGTATGGACAAAATTAAGTACGAGAAATAGAACCTAAAATTAAGGGAACATTTACACGACAACGATGCTTCTTAAAGGTGAACTAAGTAACTTTTTCACCTTAACCGAACAGCTTTGGAGTCATTGTAATGTTTATATTACTGATTTCGTGTTGAATGGTGGTCGTCTCGCACCCCCCTGGTGCCTGTGAGCCGCAAAACCACCCTTGCAACTTTGGGCCGGCGGGCTCAAATGTTAGGTGTTAGTGTTAGGAAGTATCGTGTGATATCAGGTCTCGCGAGGTAACGAATTGCTTTACGGCAAAAAACAGATCTGATAAAATTCTGATAAAATGAGCATCAAACAGAAATAACCCGGCGCCGTATACATGTGGTGTTCGAGGCGCAGGGCGCGCGCAGCTCTTAAAGGGGCCATACCTTATTTCCACTCATTACAGCGTCCATCCTACTGACCAGGTACCGGTGTACAGGGGGAGGGGATCCGGCCGTGAGTGCGAGCCATCTCTGCATGAGTGCTATTCACGACAGTACAAGTACTCCACAGCGACTCTAGGGGTCACTGTTTGACAAAAACGGAATTCCTACTTAGTGCTGCTTTAAAGAAGAAAAGTTTTTCCTTTTTTTTTTTTGCGTACAGACGACAACACTGTTGCTGTTTTATGCTGCCAGGCCAGTAGTTGGTGATGTCACTTTTTAAAGAAACACTACACGCTGACTGAACACGTAATACAAAACAAAAAACTTGCACTTTGAAACCCGTTTTCAGAAGTTTGCATTTCCAGGCCCCCAAAACGCTGTTGTCGTGTACATTAACGACCAAAATGCATAAAAAGTTTCCTATGAAAAGTAGTATTTTCATTTGAATCATTCACTATTCAAGGGTCTAAGATTATGCTTTGAAAGGGCGTGAAGTCTTTTAGTTTTCAGATGTATAGTAACGTTGTGCTTATTTGTTCTGTTTTATTATTTAGTTGTTTGTTACCTTACGGACCGCAATGAGTTGAGGAGTTATGTGATTGAATGGTTGCAGTCTGAGGTGTCGCCTGACGGCTGGTTTTCTAAAGGATCCAACTTCTCAGATGTCCTGCTCAAATACTTCCAGGTTTGTGTGTGTGTGTGTGTTGTGTTCATTGAACACAAAGCATATGCATTCAGATATACGCATGTCTGTCTGGCTGAGGGCGGAAATATGTTAATACGGGAAATATGCTAATACGGGACAGTCCGTCAGTGGTTGTGGGCGGAGCATGAGCAATATGACATCATATTGCTCAGAAAATCCAAACGACTTGATTATTGAGACTGTTTAGGCTTTTTGAGGATAAAACAAACGAGTGAATGGATTTTTTCCATTGTATGGAGGTTGTGTCCACACACTGCAAAGACAAATTGTGAATTTTGCATCCGATGACCCCTTTAAGCTGTTTGTGTCTCAACAGAACTATGATAATGGAGACTCTCAGTTGGATTCAACAGAATTCCTGAAGTTCATTCAGCATAATGAGACTGCAATAAATGTCACCTCTCCTTATGCCGAGGAGGAGAACAACCGCCTGCTCAGGTCACACACACATCCCCATATTTATAACAAAGTCTAAATTTTTGTTATATTGCACATTAGAGTTTTTAATTTTTTTTAAACAAGTCTCTAATGCTCATCTTGATTTATTTTTATAATATTGTGTAAATCTGTAATATTGTGTAATTTTAATAATATTTCACAATATTACAGACAATATTAAGGACTGTTTTCCTTACTTCAGTCGTCAGTGTCACATGATCCTTCAGAAATAAGTCTAATATGCTGATTTGGTGCTGTCAATGTTATCAATGCTCTCAATGTTGCTTAATTTTTTTTGTTCAGGATTCTTTGATGAAAGCTCAAAAGATCAGTATTAATATAAAACAGAAATCTGTCTAACATTATAATGTCTTTTCTGTCACTTTTTACCAATTTAACGTGTCCTTGCTGAATAAAAGTATTACTTTCTTAGTAACCAAAGATCATTTTAGGCATATTTCTTTTAGGGTAAATGGCTTTTACAGTGGATAAAGTGTTCCTTCATTTTAGTTTAGTTCAACAATGCATCTTTATAAAGATTCTCACTTGCATTCAGACACAACGTTCATATGTCACATTGACATGCTCTATCATGTTTATAAGGTCCTATTGCCCTTGTTGGTTTATCTCTTTCTCAGTAATCATGTTTTTTTTTTATCATGCGACCTACACAAATCAGATAGACACAGTTTGGAGTTGTGAGTTTTATTAACCTGAATACTGTCTTTATCTATCAGTTTATCACTATCTGTGTCAATACTCTTTACAGCCACTTCTGATAATGTCTTTCTGAAGATTTCTGATAACCGATAAATCTCATGGCTATACTCTATAAAATGTAATGATTATGACCTCACTGTCCCTCTGACAGCTGCACAAAGAAAGTCTTTCAATATGCTCACAATTTCCTCACACAAGATGACAAGACAAAACAAGATGTTGGTGTCATATACAGCTGTATTTACTTTGTGCATTTAGCATTTCAATTGTATTACATTTGAAACATTTTGGCCAATAGGGACAGGCACAAAATCCATCATCAAGTATACGATACAAGTTCTTCGAAAGGTCAACAATGCCGATACTGATATCTAGAGATGAGGTTGGCCAATGGCCAGTGTATATCAGAATACAGTTTGCAGATTGTATGACAAGTGCAGAATTGCTTTAAAGAAATGCTTGGCTGTTTTATACATTATTTAATTACACAGTCTATTACAGTCATATCTATAACACGTTTTAACATGGAAGATCACTGTGGGAAATATTTCATAGTCACTGTAATGCATTGGAATCTGAATTGAATTTGGATTGAATCTATACTGATCTATGTTTTGGTCATTATTCTTATAATCTTTTTTAGTGGCTATAAAGCAGACATACTATCTGATTGCAAATGCTATACTACCTTTTAAAGGTGTTTTTTTTTTCCAAGAAATGTATAGTTTTATTCAGCAAGGACTTAAAAGTGACAGTAAGGACATTTATAATTTTACAAAATATTTCTTTCTGAAGTTTGTATTCATCAAATAATCAAAGTATATCAGTTTCCACAAAAAAAAATATTAAGCAGCACTACTGTTTTTTTCAACATTGAAAATAGGAAATGTTTCCTGAGCAGCAAATCAGCGTATTACAATTATTTCTGAAGGATCATGTGACACTGAAGACTTCAGAAAATTCTGCTTTGCCATTACAGTAATAAATTACATTTTAAAATACATACAAAATAGAAAACGGGTATTTTAAATTGCAATAGTATTTCACAGTATTACTGTATTTTTTATCAAATAATTATGGTGAGTGTAATTATAAATATTTTAAAATCTTACCAACCCCTTTTTTGAAACGGTTGTTGAATGGGCTTTCTTTAATGTTCTTTTACCAGCTTGGAAACAGAAGTAGTGCTGAGAATTATTTTCTAAAGGGTAACTTGTTCATGTTCTTGTAATACATGTTCGTGTATCTTGTGCACATGGAAATGATTGTAATGCTAATAGAAAAATATTGCACTGGTGGATGCAATAAAATATTAAAAACAGTGGGGATTGTGTTCTACAGGAGTCTGTGTGTTGATGCCCTCATTGAGCTGTCTGATGAGAACGCTGACTGGAAACTGAGCTTTGATGAGTTCCTCAACTGCCTCAGGCCTGGATTCAACCCTCCAGAGAGGAGTAAGATCTACTGTACCACCACTAAGCCCACTTTCCCTGGCATAATAATGCATAATTTCATATATAAACAGATGTATGAACATATAGCCTGTGTGTTGTTGAGTGCTGTTGCATGTTTTTAGAGTGCGCCTTAGAAGATGAGACGTACGAGGATGGTGCTGAGACTCAGGTGGAATGTAACCGCTGTGTTTGTGCCTGCGGCAACTGGGTTTGCACTGCTGTTATTTGTGATGGTGAGCCAAAACTTGAGACCTGAGATATTGCTCTGTTTTTTTTTCTGCAAAGGCTGGGATTTGGATAGCAAAGCTGGATAAAATTGGATTTTTTATATGTGGAATGTGGCCTGACTTTCAGTCCTCTCTCTCTCTCTCTCTCTCTCTCTCTCTCTCTCTCTCTCTCTCTCTCTCTCTCTCTCTCTCTCTCTCTCTCTCTCTCTCTCTCTCTCTCTACAGGTACAAATAAGTTACACGATCTTGAGGAAATGGAGGGAAATGATCAGGAGATGACGGAAGAGGAGTGGACTCAGAGAGTGGACACACTTAATAAACATCAGGTTGGTACAGAGTGTAATGCTGGAAACCTGGGCAAGTATTGACAAATAACATATCATGTTCTGCTTAGATGGCATGTGTATTTGTCTGGGTCATTATGGACCTAAAGCAAATAAAATGTGTGACTTTGGAATTGATTTGCCCCCATAGGAAACTGTGGAGAAGATGAAAGTGGCAACTAAGAAGGTTTGAGGAGTAGTCGAAGAGGAATAATGAACATTTGTCCAGATTTCAGCTTCAATCAACCTGTGTTTGAATGAAAGGAGAAAGTTCCATATTTTCAGTTAGTTTATTATTATATTAATTATAGAAGTTTTCATAGCTGTGTATGTATGATCTGTTGTATAAATTACTGCAACCTTTTTGTAACCTTTCACTATACTTTTAATGTTTCTAGGCAGGGGTTCATATTTCACCTTAAAGTTAACAGAAAATATGAAATTATATTTTGTATAAAGACCAGTATGATCAACAAGATTTTTTAATGTATAATAGTAAAATGATACCCCTCCAATTTTGATTATTGTAATATTACAAATATCTCATGTACAGTGTAGAATTGCGTATTAAAAAGTAGGGTTTGGACATTGTCAACATAAATTCCTTTTATTTTGTGATAATAACTTTGTATCAATTAAGGGCTCACACAAACTATGTAACATTTTATAAAATAAATAAATATTTGCAATAAATAGAAATAGAATAGAAATATTTCTATTTGCTTGTTGTTTCAGCATTTTTCATCTGGTCAGGCTGGGAGAACATTCCAGCTTAAGCCAGCTTTTAGCATGGAAATACTACAGCTGTTTCACCTCTAACTACTTTAATTGGTCTGTTGTATATTAACCTTAATTGGCAATCACTCTATAAAACTATAAAGCAATAGTCTTAAAAAAGAAACTGGGCCAAGATTAATCTTGTTATCAAGCATGAAGCATCACAGCTGCCAAATGGGCATGTCTGATTGTGACATTTACATTGTCATTGTTATGTAATCAAATTCATTATTGCTACAGGAATATATAACTATAAATATGGGCAGGCTATATAAATATATCAATATAACTATAGGAACTGTTTTGACTAGTAAGCCCTGGCATGCTCATGCCCCTAAAAAGAGTAAAGTAAAATGCCTTTTTATTGTCTCACCATCTACATGTGGATAATAGATTTATGCTTTATGCATTTAATACAATAACTAATCTTTAATAAAAGCAGACCTGCTGACTGCCAATAGGTTTTTATGTAAACCACGCACTCAAACTAAACGTGCAGGGTTGCATAAGAGACTTATGAGACGGAGCAAACTTGCCTCATGTTTGGAGGACCAACCACTGACTGCAGGAGGCGTGACACGCGCATTCTAACGCAGATAAAACCACCAAAGTCTTCGGTCAGGAGCGCGCATTTCGGACACTTTAGTCAAAGGTTTTAAGTGTATGGATTACAACTCGAAGCGATACATTTTTAGACTGCTGCAACTTTTTTTTTTTAAATTGCTACTTATTCCTATATTATTATTTTACTTTACTAAATAGTCCATATGGCTCGTTTCTCAAGCATGGACGACAAGTGTGCTGTTTTACATTTATCACGTCTGCATCTGGACGACTTGAACTTGGATCATCTCGCGGACAGTAAAAGAAAACAAATCCAGCAGCTGCATCTAACTTACAATCGTTTATCGTTTCTTCCACCTTCCGTTTGTTTTCTATCTAACCTGGAATATCTGGATATGAGCAATAATGCGCTCACGGTCATACCAGATGACTTCATGCGACTTACAAACCTAAAGACGTTTGTGGCAAAGAACAATCTTCTGAACGAGTTCTCGTTCCCTAAGGAGTTTGAGCGCATGCAGGTAGAAACTCTGAATATGAGTGGAAACAGGTTTGAGGATATTCCCATACAGTTTCTAAAAATGACCACACTACAGTCCCTGTCACTTGGAGGAAACAGATTGAAGAACATCCCTTCAGAAATAGAGAACCTGGGCAGGTATGGGATTGTTTGTTTCTATTGCTTTAGGACAAAATAAGCAGCCTATTAGAACAGTGTTCTACTCTGTGGGAAATGGCTCACAGCTAGCAGCTGTCCTGGGGAACGACGACCCTAATAGGAGATAAGCTATTAGAGAGAGAGAGAGAGAGAGAGAGAGAGAGAGAGAGAGAGAGAGAGAGAGAGAGAGAGAGAGAGAGAGAGAGAGAGAGAGAGAGAGAGAGAGAGAGAGAGAGAGAGAGAGAGAGAGAGAGAGAGAGAGAGAGAGAGAGAGAGAGAGAGATACTGTATCTATTGAGGGCTGTTGAGAGCCAGACAGACTCAGGTCTGACCCGGTCAATGTTACAAAACTAGACAGTAGTTGAATAAATTCCATGGCCTGGGGCTGGCTGGGGGCTTTTGTGTAAAATATTAACCAATAGATTGAAAGAACGAAGCTAGGGCCGACTCTTAGACAAATAATTATGACATAACAGAAACAGACTGTTTACACTTAAGTTAATGATCTCTGCTTTCATCCATACCTAGAAAGTTAAAATTAGATCTTCCTGTTTCATCATTACATTGCTAAATTTTTAATTCTCTGTATTTAGATGAAATATGAACTTCCACCCATTGGTGGGACACTGTTTTTCCTTTGTATGCTTTTTTTTGTCCTCGTTGTGATCACAAAACTGTAATACTAATTTAGCTTTTCACATAGGCCTATTAATCTCCACACTGTCTACATAGTTGTTAATATTTTTTAAAGTAGCCTATATTTGAAAACAGGGACTTTCTTATTCAAGCATTTTATTGGACTAAATTTGGTTAATTCATGTGCTGACAAGATGAGAAAGCAGTATTTTTGGGCAATTTTCCAGGAGGAGAAAGACTTTTTTTGTCAACATAGTATACGCTAACATATAGCTAGCCTCAAAGCTAAAACAAACTAAAAGCTACTAAACATTTCATGGATCTTTAAAGGAATAGTTCACCCAAAAATGAAATGATCTTATATGATTTACTCACCCTCAAGCCATTCTAGGTGTAGCCTATATGACTTTCTTCTTTCAGCCAAACACAATCAGAGTTATATTAAATGATATCCTGGCTCTTCCCAGCTTTGTTATGGCATTAAATAGTGCCCGAGTTTTTGAAGCTCCAAAAAGCACATTCATCCATCATACAAGTAATTCATTCGACGCCAGTGGGTTAATAAATGCCTTCTGAAGTGAAGCGATGGGTTTTCGTAAGAAAAATATCCATATTTAAAACTTAATAAACTACAACCCTCCCGGTGGAACTCTACTCTCTCGTGAAACTGCGTGGCTGTTGCTGGAAGCCAGTGATTATAGTTTATAAAGTTTTAAATATGGATATTTTTCGTTTAAAAAAAAAAATTGCTTCAGAAGGCATTTATTAACCCACTGGAGTCCCATGGATTATGGAAACTACGGAACTCGGGCACTATTTAATGCCATTACAAAGCTGGGAAAAGTCAGGATATTATTTAGTATAACTCTGATTGTGTTCGACTGAAATAAGAAAGTCATATACACCTAGAATGGCTTGAGGGTGAGCAAATTATGGGAACATTTTTGGGTGAAGTGAACTATTCCTTTAAAGGTTTTACCGTTTTTGAATCCATTCAGCCGATCTCCGGTTCTGGCGGTACCCCTTTTAGCATAGCTTAGCATACATCATTGAAGTGGACAAGACCATTAGCATTTCAAAAAAGCAGCAGGCGTAATGATATGACGCAGCGCCTGAAAATAGTTCCGTTGTGTTGACGCCGGAAGGTAGCCTATTTTCAGGCGCTGCGTCATATCATTACGCCTGCTGCACTCATGGTACGGCAGTAAAGTTTCTTGATTATTACGCAGGAATGAGAGTATAGTTCCTAGCCATATCAGCCTAGAAAATCACAACTTTACATTTTCCGTCGGTCTTAGTGCACGATGTAACTACAGAAGAGTCAAGTTTTAAATAGGAAAAATATCGAAACTGTTTGGTAATTTTTTTTTTAGAAATGCTAATGGTCTTGTCCACTTCAATGATGTATGCTAAGCTATGCTAAAAGTGGTACCGCCAGAACCGGAGATCGGCTGAATGGATTCAAAAACGGTAAAAGTCAACAGTTTAACTCTGGGGGAGTTGAAAATGAGCCTATTTCCAAAAAAAGTGGAGTATCCCTTTAACTTTTGACCTTTGCTATAGTCTAGAGATGCTGTATTTGGGAGGTAACCTCATCTCCTCCATCCCACCTGAAGTGGCTAACCTCACCAGTCTGAGATACCTGGTTCTGTGTGACAATCGCATCCAAAGCATACCCCCCCAACTGAACAAGTGAGGTCTTTTGTTACTTATTCTCTTACTGTATGTTCTAAAGTCAAAGCAGTAAGGTGATTTAAAAAAAAAAAAATTTATCATCCGATTTCTCTCCTTACAGACTACACTCCCTGCTCTCTCTCAGTCTCCACAACAACCTGCTGACCTTCCTCCCTCGTGAGATCCTCAGCCTCGTCCACTTGCAGGAGCTCAGTCTCCGTGGAAATCCTCTTGTTGTGCGCTTTATCAAGGACATGACCTACGACCCTCCATCACTTATAGAGCTAGCAGGACGCACGGTCAAGTCCCAGAACCTTCCGTTCCGCTCTTGTGACCTACCGTCCAATCTGATCCATTATTTAAACCTGGCTAGCGAATGTCCCAACCCAAAGTGTGCAGGTAGGGGAGCACGATAAGACTATAATCTGTGAAAAAGTGACATATTTAGAAAAAACGGTCTTATCGAAACTAAATCTTGCAAGGATACCACTACATTAAGCCACATAATGCATTGATTAAAGGAATATTCTGAGTTCAGTGCCTTTTAAACTTTAGAATTTAAAATTTAGATGACTACAAAAACTTTATTTCATAATCTCAACATTAAACATTATAACTTAACCCGTTATTTTCTTAAAAAAAAAAAAAAAGCAAAAATTGACATTACGGTGGGGCACTTACAATGGAAGGGAATGGGACAATTTCTGAGGGACTTAAAAGCAAAATGTCAATTATAGTCAATAATCAAGAGTATATGCCACAAATGCAGTTGACTAATGATGTTATTACTTTATAAGTTGACAAAAAGCTTTCAAACATTTTGAAAATCTGTCCACCTCTTCACCACATCTCTCTCTCTCTTCATGCCCTTCAGGTGTTTATTTCGACTCGTGTGTGAGGCACATCAAGTTTGTGGATTTCTGTGGGAAGTACCGCCTGCCGCTCATGCATTACCTCTGTTCCCCGCAGTGTTCCTCTCCCTGCAGCTCAAACCCACAGAGCGACGCAGAGTCAGAGGAGGAGAACAGTGTCCCCGCAGACAGACTCCAGAGAGTACTGCTGGGATAGGACAAACCTCCAATCTGTCACAGGACTTTCATTAAACGCTTCATTTCAACATTTAGAAATGTTTTAGCGACTCAACAAAAAAAGCACTGCATGCTATATAGTTTAACTGTGATTAAAAGAGGTAGGTTTGAACTGTAAATCAAAGTTTATTAGGTTTAAAGGGATAGTTCGTTCAAAAATGAACATTCTGTCATCGTTCTCAACCTCATGTCATTTCAAACCATAGACAGTAAAATAAATGGACAGAGCCATCTCATTGGAACTCAGTTGAGACAGTTGAAGCCCATTTCTAGCGATTTTTGAGCACTTCCGTTCCTGACGCGCAGACTCAAACCGACTCAAACTAAGCTTGATGACGTGAGCAACCTGTCTGACAGACGCAAATCTTCTAGTAGCGGTGCCAAGAGGAATCTGAATCATTCCCTTCCGAAACTTGCAGAGCCGGAGATCGTGAGTATTAGCTGTTCATGAGCTCGCAGCAGGAGCAACTTTACAACTCTCTATGGGCTTCTCCCTTGACTTTATGCCTCCACGTCCCCCCGATTGCGCGCGAGTTTCTACTTCTGTCTATACGGTAATGTTCTCTAGTGTGCGCCAGAGAGTCGCGTGTTATGACGCAATCGTTAGCCTATTTTTACAAAAACGGCTTCTACAGGGTCATAACGTAAGATACAAAGTAATGGAGCCTTTTATACATTGTCGTGTTTCTTTAGAAATAAATACTGGACAAATGGAGTCTTTAAACGACTCAGATGTAAAGTTATTCGCTGTCAAAGTGACGCCAAAATGAATGGGAGTCAATGGAAATGCTAACGCAAGTGAAGTTCTGCTACAAGATGGCGGTACCCGGCCGGCTTCAACTTCCGGTCGATGGATTACCCCCTTGTTTCAAACTCATGTATATATATATTTTTGATGACTTCATTAGACTTTTGATACTGTATATAATCAAATGAATGACTATTAATGTTATTCTATTGTGTTTGTGTGTGTGTTTTGGAGAGTTCACTGTTTATGTTCCATGGAGAAAAAAGAAACTGGTTCGAAATGACATTTGGGTGAGAAACGAATGAAAATTGTGAACTATTCCTTCTACGTTGCTCGAAAGGCATCTGAAAACGTTAGCATCTTGCCTAAAACAATATTTCACAGAAGCCTACTGGCAAATATGGAACAAATTGACTGCTTTGCACTTCTGGAAAATGTGATCAATACGTGAACAGTTACTCTTTGACCTCTTCTTTGCATTGACTGTTAATCTGCCCTAACTCTTCTGTCCAAAGGTCAGGTTATGGACTATGATGGCTACTTCACACATTACGGGAATTTATGTAAAGCTATCATCCATGACACAACTTTGAAAATAGTTACATGCTAAAGAACATTTGTCTTTTTGTCAGAAGTTTGACTATAGCTAAAAGGTTTCAGATCAGTATTAAGCAGTAGTGTTTACGGTCTCTAAAAGAGCTCATAATGGTCCTAAAAACAATAAAACATAGATACTATACACCTTAATGATAACTTATCTGCTGTGTGTGTTTCTCATCAGCAATAGTCGTCTTTTCAGCCAGTCTGACTATTAGATAGATCATATAGGCTACAGTGATGATAGTTTTAACAGTATTGCACAATGTGGGTGGCTTTGTCTGAGGGTTTGGGTCAGTCAGTTCACATCAATATCTGACAATTGCATTTTATGGGCAATTTCAATGCACTCTTCTAGCACCAGACGCGCTATCATTCTTACTGCAAATAGCAGTCTTCTATCACGGTTTACGATCTTACAGTGACATGACACAGATTGCGTCACCTCTCCATCTCTCTCTGGACAGATTTACAAAGGATTCTCAAAGGTAGGATGAGTCAGCAACTTCACAGGGCTGACATTTTAGTGCACATTTAAACAATTTTAGTAAATTAAGAAATGGAGTAGGCCTACGTATAGGCTATCCATGCTGTAAAAAATAGGCACTATCTGGTCCCCCTCTCTGGTCTGTTAGCTGGTTTTAAAGAGGTTTTGTGCACTAGCGTGGCCAGATTGGGAGACCAGCGAGCTTTTCAGAAGGAAAGATCCCTAGTCCATATTTCAAGACTCATGTTGGTAAAGAAGAAAAATGGCCTAACCAGACATTGTAATCTTACTTTACAGTGTTTCTCAAGAGCAGGATCCGAGTCTGTAGGCTATTACTAGTGCTCCAGTGAAGATTATAGAAGATTATTTTGGATAATGATCTCAATCGAATGTTTTGGTGGAGGTGATTGTCATACTTTCTGTTTCTGCACTCTTAAAAAGTAGGCCACTCAAGTATTAAGCGTGTGTAATATTTTAAAAAACACAAACAAACTCAAGCTCTCAGCGCTCCCTGGTGGTCTAGTGGTTAGGATTCGGCGCTCTCACCGCCGCGGCCCGGGTTCGATTCCCGGTCAGGGAACAAATGTTTTCTTTCAATTCTCAACGTGGAGACAATATCTAGCTAGCTATCTTCTGAAAATTCAATGTAACGTACTATGTTGTTCAAGATGCTTAATCCTCACTATATAACTGTCTGTGATAAACTTCGATAACAAAAAATAATTTTGTTTCTTTATGAATTAGAACATAGGAGATCGACAATTAGAAATAAAACAAAACATCTGTAATCTAACAATCGTTTTTCAACTAAAACAATTTATTTATACTATTATAATTATACTCTATTTGGGCCTTAAATGTCTATAATATTAAACCATTTAAAACATATACGTATTTGTTCATGTATTTGTATGGGGTTCTTGGAGAATGGCTCTGATAAAATAGGAAAGCTGGTCAAGTTTGCTTGTAAGGGATATTTCACCCAAAAATTAAAAGTCTGTCATCATTTACTCACCCTCAAGTCGTTCCAAACCTGTATGAATTTATTTCTCCTGATGAACACAAAAGAAGATATTTTGAAGAATATGGGTAACCAAACAGTTGATGGACCCCATTGACTTCCATAGTATGGGGAAAAAATGTATCAATAAATTATCAATATTATCAATAACATGATCAAATAATAATGATAATATCAATAATATTTTCAAATAAACTATCAATTTTATCAATATTATAATCAATATTTACTGACTGAATTTTCATTTGTGGGCGAACTATCCCTTTAAACACGTCCAGGCACTTAAGCTAATTAATATTCATGAGGCAAACGTAGTTCCTTCCTATGTGCGCAGTGATTCAACTGCGCAAAGAGCGGAAAAACACAAACATGACACCGTGAGTAAAACTCCAGGGTTTCTTAGTTTCTATTCCCGCATTGTCAAGTAAAAAAAAGTTAAATTTAACCAGGCTCACCTCGGAATCACGGAGATTCCCCGTCGTCGTGTTTATGTTTCGCGCTGGTTAACTTGTGTTGTTGTCAGCGATGTCTGATGGCTGTGAATGATCCGGGAGGTGCTGATGCTGATGCGGAAGAGCCGCCCTCTATGCTGTGGGGTCTGGACCCCGTGTTCTCCGCATATTCCAGACTCTACATTACTGACATACTACAGATGAAAGAGTCCAGACAAGTACCTGGTAACGTAAAATACAGCAGTTAACCCATGGCCCATTTGCTTCTGTTTATTGGATGTATCTTTATCTACACAGAAATAATAATAATAAAGTATTGATAAATAACACCAAAGCATTTTTCTAAATATTTGTTATACTGCAACATCATGTTTTGCATGAGCTACTTGTTTTTTGTTAGCTGCTGTTTTTAAAATAGATAATGCATAGATATAAGATGGCCCTGTACATTATGTTTTGTAGGAGTTTATTTCTACAAGAATCACCCACTCTTCCAGGTGGATGTACTGGGGACGGTTGTTTACAAGCGGGAGAGAGACGATTTCTACTGTTATGGAGGTCTGGAAAAACATTATTTCTGCATTATCACCTTTTTAATGTCATAGAAACATCAACTTTTTAGTTTGGCATTTTATTGAGCTGTATTTTGTGATAAATTGTGATAAAAATAAAATAAACTAATCAAATGTAATCATCATCAAAGATTTTATACACATCAAAAATGCATAATCAGTTCTGTTGCAAATGTTTTTGGTTCCTTTATAAAGTCGACCACTTGGTCATGTCTTATCTTGCCTTGGGAACCAAGTTGAGCCAGTGCTGCCCTTCAAATGTGGGCACATGTTGCACCTGGTCTTACTATTGCTTGTCTGTTTTCCTTTAACACACAGTGGATGATAGTACTGGTGTCATAAATTGTCTTTGTTGGAAAGATGAGAAATGGAGGGATCAAGGAGAACCGACTAAATGTAAGTTGGTCTTTGACACTACATTAGTAACATTAACATTTCACAGCAATTTCAGTACGATTACAGAAATATATATTTTTGAATCTACACTACTGGTCACAAATTTGGGGTTAGTAAGATTTTTAATGTTTTTTAAAGCAGTTGCTTATGCTTGCCAAAGCATTCATTTTGTATATAAAAAATGCAGTACAAATATTAATATTGTGAAATATTATTACAATGTAAAATAACTGCTTTGTATTTGAATATGTTCTAAAATGTAATTTATTCCTGTGATGTCATAGCTGAATTTTCAGCACTATTACTCCAGTCTTCTCTTCAGTGTCACATGATCCTTCAGAAATCATTCTAATAAGCTGATTTGCTGCTCAAGAAACAGTTTTTATTATTATCAATGTTGAAAACATTGCTGTTCTAAAAAATAGAATAGAAATAGAAAGTAAAAAAAACCCAGCATATTACTGTCATTTTTGATCAATTGCATTCTTTTTTAATAAAAGTATTAATATTTTTTTTATTTTTTTTTATTAGCTGACCCCAAACCTTTGAACACTAGTGTGTCAAATATATTTAAAAGCCTTAAAAGATGGAAACTCCTATAGTGAAAGTCTTTTCACTGCTGTAAATATTTAATCAGCAAAAAAAAAAAAATTCTTAGTACAATCTTTTTAAAATGACTTACATTTTATTTAAGCAAGCCAGTTGTAGATGTTGTAGAAAATCTGATGCGTACTAATCAAGTGTTAATGTCAATAGGCAGAGATCCTAGCGGATCTTCCAGAGGCTTTAACATTGAAGATGAACTCAAACGACTGAAGGAGGCTGAAAGGCAGAGCACCGAGCTGGAGATCGGAGATCTGCTGAGGATACGAGGGACTGTCAAAACCTCCAGGGATGCGAGGGAGATCAAGGCCACCTGCTTCTGTAAGTGAAATGTTAAGGGATTTAGATGCACATAATATGTCTGTTTAATCAGTTAGAGTGAGCTTGTTTGCAGAACACATGGTTATTTTGCTGTAATCATCACTCTGTAGTTGTGTGTGTGTGTGTTTAGATAAAGTCAGTGACCCTGTGATGGCAGTGCAGATCTCACATATGCTGGGAATGCCTCAGCTGTACAGAAAGTGCTATGATGAGCCGTTCCAGATGCCGAGTGATGACCTGGGCGGCACAGAGTGAGTCACGCAGAATGATGGAGGTCTCATTTACATCTGTTATTTTACATGACATAATTTACATCTTACACCTGCAGTGACATTAACCTAATTGTGTTACAGGAAAAAAATGCATGCAGCCCTTTCTGCATGCATTTTTATGTGAGATACACTCACCTAAAGGATTATTAGGAACACCATACTAATACTGTGTTTGACCCCCTTTCGCCTTCAGAACTGCCTTAATTCTACGTGGCATTGATTCAACAAGGTGCTGAAAGCATTCTTTAGAGAAGTTGGCCCATATTGATAGGATAGCATCTTGCAGTTGATGGAGATTTGTGGGATGCACATCCAGGTCACGAAGCTCCCGTTCCACCACATCCCAAAGATGCTCTATTGGGTTGAGATCTGGTGACTGTGGGGGCCATTTTAGTACAGTGAACTCATTGTCAAGATCAAGAAACCAATTTGTAATGATTCGAGCTTTGTGACATGGTGCATTATCCTGCTGGAAGTAGCCATCAGAGGATGGGTACATGGTGGCCATAAAGGGATGGACATGGTCAGAAACAATGCTCAGGTAGGCCGTGGCATTTAAACGATGCCCAATTGGCACTAAGGGGCCTAAAGTGTGCCAAGAAAACATCCCCCACACCATTACACCACCACCACCAGCCTGCACAGTGGTAACAAGGCATGATGGATCCATGTTCTCATTCTGTTTATGCCAAGGTCTGACTCTACCATCTGAATGTCTCAACAGAAATCGAGACTCATCAGACCAGGCAAAATTTTTCTAGTCTTCAACTGTCCAATTTTGGTGAGCTCTTGCAAATTGTAGCCTCTTTTTCCTATTTGTAGTGGAGATGAGTGGTACCCGGTGGGGTCTTCTGCTGTTGTAGCCCATCCGCCTCAAGGTTGTGCGTGTTGTGGCTTCACAAATGCTTTGCTGCATACCTCGGTTGTAACGAGTGGTTATTTCAGTCAAAGTTGCTCTTCTATCAGCTTGAATCAGTCGGCCCATTCTCCTCTGACCTCTAGCATCAACAAGGCATTTTCGGCCACCGGACTGCCGCATACTGGATGTTTTTCCCTTTTCACACCATTCTTTTTAAACCCTAGAAATGGTTGTGCGTGAAAATCCCAGTAACTGAGAAGATTGTGAAATACTCAGACCGGCCCGTCTGGCACCAACAACCATGCCACGCTCAAAATTGCTTAAATCACCTTTCTTTCCCATTCTGACATTCAGTTTGGAGTTCAGGAGATTGTCTTGACCAGGACCACACCCCTAAATGCATTGAAGCAACTGCCATGTGATTGGTTGAATAGATAATTGCATTAATGAGAAATTGAACAGGTGTTCCTAATAATCCTTTAGGTGAGTGTATATGCATGATATAAATATATAATAATAACAAAAATTATATAAACGTGTATATATATATATTAGGGCTGTCAGTTAAACGCGTTATTAACGGCGTTAACGCAACCCCATTTTAACGCGATTAATTTTTTTATCGCGAGATTAACGGTCTTTTTGGCCTAGCAAACTTTGTAGTTTTTTTCACATGCTTTTGCAACAGGACGCGGCATGCGCAGCGCTGCGCTATCAATCAACCCCATTCATTTCAATGGCTTGCGCCGCACGAGGACGTTTTGATGCTTCGTCGACCAAAGTGCAAGCGGATCTAGCTAGACCTGAAACAAAACAACATGCACGCGCACACACTTGTTTGGGCTTGCGAGCCGGCCAAATAGGTTAACGTTACGTTCAGTGGATGACGAGCGCGAGACGCCGAAATGGATGCCAATAAGATTCTGAATGGAAAGTTTACTTTTAAAAAGTTGCCAAATGGTTTCATTGACAAGACAAAGTGATCTGTGTGTTTTGTCGTTATGAACTGAGCTATCATCATCGCAGCACGTCCAGTCTGAAACACCACTTGATGATGGCCAAGCAGACACACACACACTGATGATGATGCGCATTCTCCGCCCCCTCGTCAATATCAGGACCTCGTCAGTATTTATTTCACCCTTTTATTGATGGACAGTGTTACATTGTGTTACAAAGAGATTAGCAGCTATTTGCTCCAACTGAGAATGTTAGTGTGAAATTGAACACAGTATTGTCAATGTTGATTTCAATTAAAAAAAATGTGCACAAAGCAAGCAATCCACTTTTTTCATGTTGATAAGAGCATTAAAATGAGAAAAAATATTGAACAAAAAGAAATCAAGAGACATTTAGAATAGATAAAAATGTGCGATTAATCGCGAGTTAACTATGACATTAATGCGATTAATCGCGATTAAATATTTTAATCGTTTGACAGCACTAATATATATATATATATATATGCAATTGCAAAAGTCTTAGGCACGTTAGTATTTTCACCGCCCAAAAATGGTTTTACGCCAGTTACTTATGTCTTTTGCTGTGTAGTGGTCAGTAGGAAATATCAGTTCACATTTACAAATTTTTTTTTTGCCATTAATTGAGATTTTTGTATGCACAAGGAGTCTGACAACAGCCGGTATGATCCACACGACACAGAGATATGATCTCACCATCATCGAGAACAGAAAAAACTGAGACGAGAAAATAATCCAGAAGAACTGTGGCAACGGCTCCAAGACACTTGAATCATTTTCTTTTTCTTTGCGTACAAAAATCGAACTGGATTATTACAATTAATGGCAAAAGGAATGTTTGGAGATGTAAACTGATATTTACTACTGACACACTACAGCAAAAATATAAATAACACATTTTTTGTGTGTGAAAATATGTGCCTAAGAGTATAAAAAAAAAATGCCTGCATTTTTTTTTTTTTTTTTTTCAAGCTTGGGAACAAAAGCATCTGAAATTTAATGTCTTGATTCAGACCTCAAATTTTAAATGTAGGGCCTGCTTGTGAAACACATCAAACATGCTTTCTTGTGCTTTTCAATTTTATTTACAGAGCAGGTGGTTCTCACATTTCCACAATTTGCTGTCTCGGTCAGTTCTCACCTTAAGGAGTTCCTCTCAGAGAAAGAGGTGGCCAGGTTTCGTCCTTATGATGTCGAGTTCCTCTTACATCCACTGATCCAAAGTTCTTCAGCAGAACAGGTACTGGCCTGACCTTGACCTTGACCTCATTATACTCGATAGAGTATGTGTCATGTCTTTCCTTCACTGTCCAGTACCAATAAAGCAGAAAAAATGGCACTATGCAAAAGATGAATGCACAAGTCTACCAAAGTAAACTGTCCTTGTTCAATGTCACTACTCTTGGCTGGAGTATATCAGGATATAAGAGCCAGGAATAACTTGTGGGCTGGTAGGGAGGATGTGTTGGGCTTTTGATTGGCAGCAGGGAATGATCGTCTGTAACATATTATGAGATGCTGCTAGTCTGGAGATTCAAGGACAGCCGCATACGGTGATGAGAAAGAAGTTATGCTAATGAGAAGCCTGTCGATATCTTCGTTAGTAAACAAGCGAGAAAGTACATGGAGTATGCGTTCATTTAAACATTCTTTGTTTGTTAAAAGGAGCTGAAATGGTCATTTTGAAGGGTGCAGCACAGAAATGTGATTCATTGTTTGGGTGACTCATCATTTAATTTCTTATTTTGCCTGAAGGAGTCAGATCAGCCCAGAACGTCATTGGCTACGCAAATTCGAAACTTCTGAAAGAGACCCTGAGCGTCCTCCAGGATGAGGTGACAAATATTTCGCAAAATACGGACCCAGGATGAAGTCTACAATGTATGTGCACAGTGCATACACATACAGACACCTCTTAGCAAGTATGACATCATCATAGAGAGAGAGAGAGAGAGAGAGAGAGAGGGAGAGAGAGAGAGAGAGAGAGAGAGAGAGAGAGGAGAGAGAGAGAGAGAGAGAGAGAGAAGCAGTGGTTAATGTTCCCTCAGGAGACTCTTAACAAAATAAAGGGATAATGTGTATATTTGCTTCCTACACATACTT